CACTTTAGGTAAATTGTATGATATGTGAATTATATCTCAATAAAGCTGTTATTTAAAAAAGAAAAACAAAAACAAAAAACAAAAGGATATGGACAGCCAAGAAAAAAAACTGTCAGGGTAGTGGGCTTATACTCCGTAAAGTTCTGAAGGGAAAAATACACCCTGGCGTAAATAACAAAGAAAGGCAGGCAGCCTAACTTCTATTTCCTTCCAGAAAAAAAGCAGAATAGGAAGCTGACCTCGAATACAGCAGGGCCTCACAACCCCATCACTAGGAGCTCGGGGCTGCACATCTGTTGCTGTGGGGGACTGTCCTGTGCGCTGTAAGATGTCATGTCTAGTGGCTGGTCTCTGCCCACCAGATGCCAGTAACACCACCACCAGCCGCTTGGTAACCGTCAAAAACGTCAGCAGGGCTCCCCAGGTGGCGCAGTGGTTAAGAGTCCGCCTGCCAATGCAGGGGACACGGGTGCGAGCCCTGGCCCGGGAAGATCCCACATGCCGCGGAGCAGCTAAGCCCGTGAGCCACAACTACTGAGCCCGCGTGCCTAGAGTCCGTGCTATGCAACAAGAGAAGCCACTGCAACGAGAAGCCTGCGCACCGCCACGGAGAGTAGCCCCCGCTCGCCGCAACTAGAGGAAGCCCGCTCACAGCAGCGAAGACCCAACGCAGCCATCAATCAATCAATCAATCAATCAATCAATCAATCAATCTTCAGACAAACGGTCCCCCACAGAGAACTACTGGACTCGAGAAATGGACCTCCAGGCTTGCCCTGCAATGTAACAGACCCCTGGGTGCCTGAATTCGAATTAGGTTATCTTTTTAGGCAGGACAGTAAGGTCGGGCTGGAAGAACCATTTCAAGAGAGAAAATGCATCTATGTGATATCAGGTAGGAAAGGAGGTGACGAGTCAGGGCAGCTCAGAGAGAATTTACCACAATTGTCTTTGGCACCTTTTTGGTACAATTTCTGCCATTCTTATGGCACCACATCTACTTCTTCCCTGGATTTAATAAAGATTTTCAATATTTAAAAAAAAAAACAAAACAACAAAAGCCTGAGTGTCCCACCTGTTAATGTTAGCCTAGTATACAGCTGTATGATTCAGAACAGGCTAGGTTCTGCTGGATAATAACGGTCCACAGAGCTCAGTGATGCTTTCCCGTTTACTTCTCCTGCCATGTGTTCATCGCAGCTGATTTGGGGCTCTGCTCCGTGTCTCCTCACTCTGGGATCTAGGCTGACCGAGGAGCTACCGTCATGAATACTGATAGTGACGAGGGAGAGGTGACTGTTCTGGGGGTCTTGAACTGGCAATTACACATGTCAGCCCAGAAGTAACACTGTCACCTACGCTCACAACTCACAAGACCCCACCCAACTGCAAGAGGGCCAGAAAGTGCAACCATACCACATGCCTAGAAGACAGAGCCAGAAATGCTCAAGGAACACGAAATACCCTCGAATTATCTTCCATACTGCTTTCCCTGTTCATGCAAATCATACACCTGTACACAGGTGTATACAGATATGCGGAACGTTCACTGCTGCACAAAACGGTCGCGTTATAAGCAGTCTCTTCCACCTTTCATGTCTCCCCCAACAGTAACTCGTGCAAAACCTCCCAGAACAGCAGGTATAGTGCTAATTCATTCTTGTTAGTGGTTACGTAACATTCCACGGTGAAGATAACGTAAGTCACAGGTGTGGCTGGAACTAAGCAGAGGTCCAGGCTGTGTAGTTGGCAGTCTATGTATCTGTATCCTGTCCTCACGAATTTGAGGAAATTGGCTTTAACTCTTCCCCTGCCATGAATGCCAAGCCCTCGATCCTGCTAATTTTGGAGGTTGCAAAGACGAAGCACATGAGGAACAAAATTCTCTCTTCTTGCTTTTTCTGATCCTGTCACTCATCTACATACACCCTTTCCTTCACAATTCCTACTTTCCCCATCTAAAATAGCGAGAAATGTTGGATTTATTAAAAAAGAAAAGACACCACATCGTTTTATTTTTAACTACAGGCAAATGGCACCGACCACGGTTTCTCCTCTCCTCTGCACCATCACCCGCTACTCCTACAATTCTCCCTCCCTCCTCTTTCCGTGCTCCCCTCTTCCCCACTCTCACCTCCTTTTTCTCTGACACCTCCTACCTTGTCTTCCATTTCAATTACTTTAAATGAAAAAAAGGGAATGCAGACTGGGGAAAATGGTTAAAAACTAGGAGTACAAGGAGAGCTGGTGAAACCTTACTCAGACAATGTTCCTTCTCCAGTGATCTCCCCAGACGTGAAATGGAAAGTTGCCTAAACCTCTAGCCTTCTCGGTTTCCAGCTTTAACTCAAAGCTACTACCCCTCAAAACATTTAATCCTCCCTTCATACTCCCATTCCATCTCATGTAATATTAAAAGAGAGTAAACATATTAAAAAATAAGGGAATTTGTCTTTGTGGAAGCACTTTCTAATGTTTTCCTATCTGTAGCTTTTCTGTAGATCGACGTATTCTACTGTGCAATGGCCACACCATTCTGTATATTCAAGGGCACTCACCCCTTAAATGTTTGCTTTCTTATTTAATATTTTTAAATTATTTTTTAAGCTAGACTTCTCAGGGACTTTATCTGAACGGTATTATCCAAATTATTGGAAGTCTAAATTTTTATTGTTCTGCTTGAAGTTACTGTCTTGTTCCTTTTTTAAAACTGGACCCGTCCTCTCTCTCTAGACGTTCTATAATGTACCTAATCTAACCATTTGTTAATGGAAGAAATCTACCTCCCCTGCTCCTCTTCCCCATCAAATCAACGTCCTCAGCCTTCCAGAAAGTTAAAAGGAGTTTCTTCAGACATGCTGCAGGCCCTACGATCCACTGGCATGAATTTTAAACCAGGTAAAAGGGAAGGGTGAGGCTTGACAAATTGGTATGGACGCCACACAAGCAGACAAGGACTGTGCCTCCATTTAGGGTTCTGCCTCTCAGGAAAATAGGGAAGGGCAGGGAGGATTTGTAAAGCTGGTTTTTCTGCACTTCTGACTAGGAAAACAAAGGAGTGTAACAGGCTTGACCTGGAAAGGGACCTGTGTTAAACATTAAATGAAAAGTGGAGCTTTTTTTTTTTTTCAATGTTTTTCAGTAGAGGATTAAAAAAGAATGAGAAGGCCTTCCAGTTACGGCAGCATAAAGAGACAGGCAGTTCCTTTCTGCAAAACACCCACACCCCGCCCCCCCGCAAAAATATAAGCACAGCACTAGACAAAATTATCAAAACCAGCAATTGCAGGGAACTGGAAATTGACCAAAGGTAGACAACAAATTGAGCTGTGGTGATTGTTAAATTACTTGTTAAATAAGGGTCCTGGAATGTTGGATGTCCCATCGTGAGCCTCAGTCCGACAAAAGCCCACAAGAGAACCGAAATAGAGAAGCTGACTACTCACAGCCCTGGAGGAGTACAGGGTGGGAGGTCAAGGCAGGGTGCAGGCAGAGGGAGGCCAGACTGGGACATACGCCTTTATTAAGGTCCACAGATGGAGTGCTTCAGGGTTCCCAGGGAAACCAGACTGGACAATTCAAACCAAAAAAACCAGGGTTCTGGTAAGTTTTGCAGGAGGCTCATCCAAGGGGTCCACCAGGGGGAAGGCCCTGGGACGTGGAAGAGACTGTTTATCACTGTGACTCTGCAGCTGTTTCAAGGGCGTGCTCACAGGAGGGGCCGGTGTCAGTTCAAGGCCCCTCCAGGCCACTGGCCACACAAAAGGATGCTGAGGCGGCAATATTATGGAGTAGTTCAGCTCAACAGTGGAAGGCTGTGGGTTTTGTGGCCACACCCTAACAAGAGTCCCCCTCACTCAACGACTTTTAAATATGCTGGTATTGGCCATGAAAACAAGTTGCTCAGCTGCCAGGAAACAGACACAGCTCAGGGCGGTGATGGGGGGTCAGAAACGCTTGGCTTCACAAGCTAAGCATGGAAATGAACACTCGGGAATGAGCGGGGAAATGCACAGCTGGGGTGAGCAGCAGGCCAACTGGGAATTTAACAGGGAAAACCCTAGAAATGAGTCATGGAAGGGCTGATACAAGCTCTCCACACATCTCTGGCTGAATAGCCTGTCATTTTACCAAATTTGAATGACCATATTCATTTACACTTAGAGGGCTGCATAAAAACCCTCAATTTTTCAAATTAGGTGAAAAGTATTTTTTCATTTGCGTTATCTTTACAGTGAGATGATCAATTTGTGTTAGTTTGTGCATTATGTGGTGTGTGTCTTCTGCCCATTCTTCTGCGGTCTTTTTCTTATTAACTTGTAAAGGCTCTGTAGTGGAATATCCATGTATCACAGCCATTGCGAACGTTTTCCCAAATGGTGCGCCTCTTAATGTGTTTTATATGTAAAATGCTTATGCAGGGCTTCCCTGGTGGCGCAGTGGTTGAGAGTCCGCCTGGCGATGCAGGGGACACGGGTTCGTGCCCCGGTCTGGGAGGATCCCACGTGCCGCGGAGCGGCTGGGCCCGTGAGCCATGGCCGCTGAGCCTGCACGTCCGGAGCCTGTGCTCCGCAATGGGAGGGGCCACAACAGTGAGAGGCCCGCGTACCGCAAAAAAAAAAAAAAGAAAAAAAAAAAATGCTTATGCAGATGACTTTCTCTTTTCTAGTTCCCTCCTTTACCTCTCTGTTTAGAAAGGCTTTTCTACTCTAAGATCAGGAAGTATTTACCCATCCTCCTCCTCCTCCCTCCTATTTTACCCACGTTTCTAAAGCCTCAGGGCCAGTGGTATTCTCCTGGGCCTGCAACTCACTGAGCGGACAAGACTTCAGTGACATAACACAGGCTTATTCTGTGAGAATAAGGGGCTCCTTCTCAGTATGGCTCACAGCTCGGAATCCCCGGTCATGGATTGTTTCCTGCCAAATTATCCATTTATGTCTTCCCCATTCAGCCACCTAACAGCTGTCCCTTTATTGTTTAGGTGTCCTGGGACCCCGATGGCAAATTTCAAGGGCCACGCTCTCCCGGGGAGCTTCTTCTTGATAGTTGGACTGTGGTGGTCAGTGAAGTACCCACTGAAGTTCTTTCACCAAAAGGGGAAGAGCAGCCGACTGACTCGCCACTATCAGCGTCTTGAGGTCACTGAAGCCGCCATCAGAACTTTATTTTCAGTCATCGGTAAGGAAGGGGGTCATTCGGCCCAGGGATCTCCTTGTCATACCCAGAACCCGTAACCCACTTCCTGGACCCTGTGGAAAATGGATGTCTCCACTGGCAGGGATAACAGAACAAGAATTTGGGGCGCTAAATATTTTACCATAGCATCTATTGTGTACCGAGCTTAGTAACACTGACAGTTTAATAGCACCTTACATCATAGTTCTAAGTTTCACACTATGAAAAACTACCACATAGACTGCAGCATTCTTTGCCCTAGAAGGATACAGATATAATTTGTAGGAACACAGGCATAAGTTGTAGAAATAGAAGACATACTTTATGAAAAAGACGAAACAGAAAAAGAGAAAATAAGAACAAATTAGAGTTAAGCTCATGTACGTGAGTTATAAGAAGGTACTAAACAGAGCTTAGTTTTAGAAAAGTCATCTTTTTTCCCCTCAGCTGTCTCCCTCCACTAGAATCTCAGGAGTGGTTAACACCCAACTCATACCCTCCATCCCCAAATCTCAAGCGCTTAGAGATGGGGATTCATGCCGGAAGGCTAGTCAGAGAGGCAGTGGAAGAGAGTGAGAAAAGCCAACAGACAGCTGTGTGAGGGGGACTTTCCTTCACTGCGCCCCATTCCAACAAACCCACCCACTTCCATGGCCACCTGACAGCCATCCAGCCCACTGGTGGCCCTCGCAGAACAAGTGGTGTCAAGAGCAGACGGAATTCCTCGTCAGGACCAGCCCATCACGTGAGTGAGGAGGGAGCTCACCCTGCAGCTACATTCTGCCACCTGTCCCCTTTGGCCTACAGTTTCTCCAAGGAACAGAAGCAAGTGAAGTAGCTCCCCGTGGAGTGAGCAAAGGTCACAGTCTAGCTGAATGTCCCCTTCACCAGTCACCCAGGCATCAGAAAGGCTTTGTCGTCTCTCTGAAGCTGCAAAGTGATAGGGCCCATGTGGCTTAAACGGTAAAGGACAGCATCAACTTGGCCTTAGAAAAGCTAGAAAAATGATATTTAGCCTCCTTGCTATGTGAAACTAATACTCATCCAAGAACGGTCTCTTGGGGCCTCTGCCACATGCCGGGAACTCGCTGTCTGGGTGCCGGAGGGGGCAGGGGGGAACAGACACAGTCCCTGCTCTCGGAGGCCTTCTGCTCTCGGAGGCCTTCTGCTCTCCTGTCACTGGGACATCCTTTTCCTGGGTTGCTTCCACCAGCACCTTCATCCTTTGTACATGAATTCAGAAAGGGGCTGGGGACTTCCCTGGTGGTCCAGCGGTTAAGGCTCTGCACTCCCGATGCACGGGGTCTGCGTCTGACCCCTGGTCGGGGAACTAGATCCCCCATGCCGCAACCAAGAGCCCGCACGTGGCAACAAAGACCCGGTGCCGCCAAATAAGTAAATAAATAATAAATATTAAAAAAAAAGGAGGGATCTGGGTTGAGAAAGAAATGTTTGGGAAACAGGGCCCATAACGTTGTCACGGAGGACTTATTCAAGGCTGCGGGAACATTCTGCGCACCAGGCCAAAGGCGAATCTTTTGCTCCCAAGTACTGTGGCACTGCTCCACCTGTGTGCCGGCCCCGCCTCCTGAGCTACAGGGTGGCCAGGATCACCAAGGTGTGGTCTTGGCCTTGTTCTCCCAGCGTCTGGGACAGAGGCTGAGCACCATGGGAGGGACCCTCAACTCCGAGCTCGCCCCGGGCGCAGGAAAAGCACACACCCGGGAGTCGCTGGGCTTGCCACGGCTATCTTCACCTGCAGTGTGTCTCGCTGGCATTCTATCATTTTCCACCTAATTGTTCCTTTCCAGGTTTATCTCACGGCTCGCTTGGCAGAGGGGACCCCCAGAGAATGCATCAGCCACACTCTCGCTTAAGAGACAATGCCTTGCTGTCATTTCAACTGCTGGACAAATGTCCTGGGGACCTGTGTGGCTGCGTTCCTATCGCCGTTTCTCCCCCCTCCCCCAAAGGAACGGCAACAAAGGCAACATGTCTGCACAGGTTCCTCAGCAAACACGTATTTTATCCTGAAACAGCTGCATCTGAGGCAGCAGAGTAGGTCCACAGAGCCGTGGGCCACCTTCGCCATGACTTGGGGTCACTTTGCCGTCTATTTGTCTTGGAGCTGTTCTTCCCTCCCTAACCTCCACTCCCGTTTCCCTGCAGGCATGCTGGCAGAGCAGTTTGTTCCGGACGGGCCCCACCTCCACCTGTCCCATGAGGACCACTGGGTAAAGCTCATGAACTGGCAGCACAGCACCATGTACCTGTTCTTTGGGGTCTCAGGACTCGTGGACATGCTGACCTACCTCATCACCCACATCCCCTTGGGGCTGGACAGACTGGTCATGGCTGTGGCAGTTTCCAATGAAGGTGACTGGGTGGTGTGGACGGAGACTTAGAGGGACTGGAGCACAGCAGATCAGAAATATTGCAAATTTAATCATCTTCCCCAGAAAACCCTAGTCTCTGAGCTTCAGAATCCTACACAGGACTTGATCCTGTGCTCTGGATGGTACAGGTGGCACATTCCATAAAGCAGCACAGGAAAGCACGAGGCTTTTAGCCAGAGCTCTGGCTGACAGGGCACCAGCTCCCCCTGCCCGCCCAGCGTCCGCCCCCGCCCCGCCCTCCACCCTCCGCACAAAGTACTGGCGGGGTGCCATCACGCAAGGGGGTGACCCTCTGGTTAGGGGAGAGGTTCTCCGTGCCCTACCCCAACTGTCCAGACTCGCACCCAGTGGCTAGGACACATCTCCCAACGCAACTCATGTTAACTGAACGAGAGGAAAGCATGTTGTAATCCAACCCCCTCATTGATTTCTGAACCTCGGGAAGAACTGAAAAAAGGTTGAATGAGGGTAAAACTGAATGTCAAGTACAAACACACAACTGGTCACAAATCAGCAATATCTCACTTTCCCATCCTGGACTGAACCCCACCTACCACAGATTCGGTAAAGAGATGTTAAGATTCATCCTCTGCTGCTTATAACTGCTTACACATGAAAACACACACACACACACACACACACACACACACACACACACTAACCTGCATCGGTTTGTTACCCTAGATTATCAAGATTCATCCTCTGCTGCTTATACCTGCTTACACATAAACATACACACACACACACACACACACACACACACACACACACACACACACACACACACACACACACACACCCAAATGAGCTAAAAAATCACAGCAAAATGGTTCTTTGTTTTTGACACACACACACACACACACACACACACACACACACACACACACACACACACACACACTAACCTGCATCGGTTTGTTACCCTAGACTGTCACATAAACTGACTTCCTAAGTGCCAGACAGAGACTTCCTAGTCAGGCTGAAGCTGGGAACGGATCCCCCGCGGCGGGGGCGGGCCCGACAGCATCCCCTGCTCCACACAGGCTTCCTCTTGTACTACCATGTCCACCACCGGCCACCGCTGGACCAGCACATCCACTCCCTCCTGCTGAGTGCCGTGTTCGCAGGGGCTGTCAGCCTCACCTTGGAAGTGATCCTCCGGGACAACATCGTGCTGGAACTCTTCCGTACCAGCCTCGTTATCCTTCAGGGCACCTGGTTCTGGCAGGTAATTATTCAAAACCATGCTCCTCACCTGGTGCAAGGACGAAGCAGGCCCGCCGAGCGCATCCAGGAGATGCAGCACTGACACACCACTCGAAGGGGGTCAGAAGCCACTTCTCTGCCCACGCCCACCCCTGACCTACGTGACTTTAGCCATCGATATCCTGCTGACACATAAACAAGCGTCATCAACAGAGCACAGGTAGCGAGCAGGCTGAGGATTTATTTACCTGCCTGCCCTTCCCAGCAGAGATACTGACACCACTTACAGCCTCTACTTGCTAAAAACTGTTCATCTGAAATGTGGGCCCTCCCTGAAATTTTAAGTAAGGCTACACTAAAACCAGAGCTAACAGAGCAATTTCCTGTGCAGAGGCCGTTCAATGCTAACAGAGGCATGGGGAATGAGTTGTCTGGGCAACTACAGACACTCTGGCAGCCACAGGAAGCTAGGGGGCTTCTCAGGCCCACCTAATGACAAGGCTGGCTTCTCTGTATAATCCACCAGATCGGGTTTGTGCTGTTCCCGCCTTTTGGAGCACCCGAATGGGACCAGAAAGATGACGCCAACATCATGTTCATCACCATGTGCTTCTGCTGGCACTACTTGGCCGCCCTCTGCATTGTGGCCATCAGCTACTCGCTGGTTTACTGGTATGTCCAAGAGAAGATGACTTTTGCCAAGTTTGTCCTAACCCGCCCCCGTCCCTGAAATGTATTACACTGCATCCTTCTTACCTCCACGCCCCACCCTTCATAACTAAGCAGTGCTAATGTCTACCACTTAATGAGGGCCAACTATATGCCAAGCTCTGTGCAAGGCACTCTATGTCTGCACGTGAGGGTGATGAAGTCTGAGAAGTTAAAGGACCGTCTGTCTGGTCACGGCGACCTCACAGACCCAGGTTTCGAATGCAGTTCTGATGGATTTTAAGTCCGCAGTTTGAGAGGAAAAACTCTGCATTAGGCATCAGTACTGAACCGCAGTCCCTGCTGTGTCCCTGGTTCATTCAGAGCCCAACACCTTATTCCTGGATTTGCCCTACTTCCCAGGGACATGTGACAGTCAGGTAAGACACCACAGCAGCAAGCGCTCACGTCAGCGCTCGCTCTCCCGAGGTTACCAGAGTAGCTAGTAATTCCTAGGCACTGACTGTGTCCCAGCACTGTAGTCAGCACTTAAAGTCTGTAAATTACCCCACTTAATGCTCACTTTATAAAGGATGCACGTGATGTTTATAGACAGGGAAACCAAGGCTTCCAAAGACTGAGTAACTGGATCAAGGTCACCCAAGGGGTAAAGGGCAGAGCCCGGCTCTTTAACCACTGCACACCCAGTCCTGCTGGTTCTGTGTCGTCAGAGCCGCCTCTGTTCTTTCCTACTTCCCGATTTCCCTACCCAAAGAGAGAGTTCACCCAGAGAGAGTTCCACACAGACCAAACAGAAGGGAAAGCAGGCCATAGTTTCTCTGAGTTCTACTGCCCGGTCAGTGAATCAACAAATTGTGGGGCGGGGGAACTAAGTTGAGTCTCAGTTACATCACTGACCTTTAAGTGACTGTGAGTCCTTTCACCACCAAAGAGAGCTGTCTAAGAAATCGGAGATGCAGATGAGTCACCACAGTATTTGACAGAGACATAAAAAACATGCTCTGAGGGCCGGCGGATGCCTTCGCATCCTTGGGTGAGGGAATAAGGCAACTTGGGGCTCACTCCATCTGCAATTATTGTCTCCCCATTACAGCTTCCTGACACGGGTAAAGAGGCCTGGAGACAGAGAAATCATTGAGATTCAGAAGCTGAAGTCAGATCACAACTACCAGAAGGCCCTCCTGAGCGGCTCTGATGAGGACTAGGGCGGCCATCGGTCACCAACGGAGGACGGAGTGTCCTCTGCGGGCACAGCTGGTGGTCAGTGGGGCAGCTCCCTTCCTTCACTGAAACCCCCACTGTGATCCACTCTCAAGAGTCTGTATATTTGCATCTGCTCATTTAACCAACTGAAGTCTCTGCTGGTGTGGTAATACCTTGTAGAGAAAAACGAAGCCAGCCTTTATTTGTGTCTCAGTGTGAAGAGAACTCAGACTCTGAAAGTTTCAGAACAGGAAGTGACCTCATGGGTGAATTCAGAATATGAATCCAGCAGAATTTACTGCTTTTGATAATTTAGCCCTTTTTCCCTCAAGTACTTTCTTATCAGAAAGTGAAAGACAGAGCCTTTATTTTAGAGATATAATTCTAATCCGTATTTTTTAAAGTAAAATAATTCACGAGCTTTGGTATTTTTAAACATTACTTGCTAAGCATCTCCTAACTAATCATAATGTTCCGGAGTACTGCAATACCACTCACTGTTGATAAGTGATGAAGTTGGGCCAAAGGTGATTTTTTCGGTTAAATCAGGAAGCCAGTGAGTGGTCCAGCTGAGAGCTGGAACCCAGATATTCTGACTTCTCAAAAGTACCCTAGTAAGAGGGTGCTGACAGGAAACCTCTATCATGAGGTGGAGAGAAAAATGTCAGGTTATGGAAGGCCTTGAATTTCAGCATAGCTGAAAGCGAAAGATAAGAATCCTGCAAAGGATGTGAATCTTGAACTAGTGACATAAAGTCTTGATACTCGAATATTGGTTCCGGACCTGTTCTTTTTTTTCTTTACATTTCCTTCAACAAAGATTTATTAATCATCTACTTTGCACCAGCACTGAAATGGTTGTAAGGATTAACGAAATATGTGTCCAGCAAAGAATTCACTGTCTAAAGGGAGAGGTATAAGCAGTTATGTGCAGGGTGACTGGTGCCCTAAGGGGTAAGAACAGATACCATGGGAGATGAAGGAGGGGAGAAGGTGTGTGTTTGGGGGTTGCCCTACAGAAAAGCACATTCCAGGAACAGAGAATCCAGGCACAAAGACAGTGAGAGTATGAAAGAATGCGGACAGTTAATCAAGCTCTGTAAACTGATAAAAGTGGGTTAGGACAAATCTGAAAGGTCATAGGGACCCACAGTGCCATTCATTTGTACAGTATTTCCCAGACCTTAAACTGCATTCTATCTCGTCTGACTCTCACAACCACCTGTACTGCAAGAACATCAGGGCTCTTCAGAGAACCAGATCAGCCTAAGGCCACACAACCACAAAGTCCTAAAGCCAGCCTTCAAGTAGGACTCAGAGGCCAGCTTCTCTCCCGCTATGCCCTCCGCTACTTAACACCAACACGGCAGCGATCAGCTGTGTGAAGCACGTATGCTCTTTGGAAGGAACGCTGTACTTACATGAAGGGCAACCTCCCACAGTCAGGCAGCATCTCAGGGTCGAAGCCACATCTTAGGGATTAAGAATGAGCTACCTGAAGACACTGAATTTTGAGATGAGAACCCAGGAGCCCCCTTTCAGGACCCACTTTGGCCTGCCTGAGTAGGAACCCAAATGTTCATTTAGCAAGTCCTGAATGAAGCATGTTCTATCCAGCAAGTTCTACTGTTGGCCGTTAATGTAAAACATGTTCTTGCCTCAGGGACTGGAGGTGGGAAGGAGGAACACAGTCGCAGGTTTACTTTCACAGTAAAGATCTCCATTTTTTTTTTTTTTTTTGCGGTACGCGGGCCTCTCACTGCTGTGGCCTCTCCTGTTGCGGAGCACGGGCTCCAGATGCACAGGCCCAGCGGCCATGGCTCACGGGCCCAGCCGCTCCACGGCACGTGGGATCCCCCCGGACCGGGGCATGAACCCGTGTCCCCTGCATCGGCAGGCGGACTCTCAACCACTGTGCCACCAGGGAAGCCCTCCATTCTAGATTTTAAAAGTGGGGAGGGGACAGAACACTTTAAGGAAATGCAGCATTTTCTAGACAGTGAGGGGCTGAGGTGTGACGGTCAGATACAAAATATTACAGTTTGTTCTGATGCACCTGACACAGCACTGTTTGGTATACCTTCATGGAAGTGATCAACCTGCATAAATATTCTTAGACGTGGTGACAAAAGTACAAACCGATCACAACGCCATTCACCAAATCTAGTCTCAGATACATGGTGTGAATAATTTCACCAGCCTCTGAGCCTCTGAACCAGGTTCTTCTGGAATTGTTCCCCACAAAACACCCACCAGCTACCATGTCTCTACAAGACCCCTGAGGTCTGCACGCAAGGAACCATGCCTGGTGCAAATGCCGGTGGTGTCACCCAAGCAGCTCTGGCAGGGGGTGCCATCCTCTGGGACCCAAGGGCAGGCTGGGCAGGAAGCACCGGGTCACACTTACCACCGGCATCCTGAAACTAACCCGCGGGCTAGGACGTAAATGTCTGCGGGCACCAAGGAGACAGGCTGTCAAGTGACTTCAGCAAATAAGAGTGGAGCTTAGGGTTGAGGCTGAACACATGATGAGATCATTTGTTAAGTAAATTCAAAAGGGGTTTGTTTTAACCAGCAGTGAATGCCAGAGCCAGGATCCCTCAAGTCGCTACCTCTTTCTCGCCCGGAAAGCGGCACGCGGGCTTCTCGCGCGGCGCGCGCTCCAGGAGACAACGCCACGCGGACGCGCTCTCCTCTGCTCGGGCCAAACCCAGTCTCGGCCTCCCCGCAGCCTCTGCCGCTCCCATCACCAATCTTATTTCTGCGCCAGCCTTCTACCACCCACTGAAAGCTCAATCTCACCCCCCCAATTCACCTCTGCTCTGTATAATCCAGGCTTACCACTCCCAGCTCCGGACGGTCCCCACGTCTCACCAGGACACATCACAGCCACGTCCCCACAGGAAGGCAGCAGAAAGGGCACCTGAATTAAAAGACTGCACTCGCAGCTTGGTTCTCTTTAACTTCAACTCAGGCTTGGATTTTCTCACAGTTAGAACAGGGATGGTCATGTCTATTTTACAGAACTGCTTTACAAATCAAATGTCTGTGTACCCAGTGAGCCACTCTTTCTCTGCACTACTGCAACTTGCCTGATCACTCAGCTTCCACCCAGCAACCCCTCCAAAGGAGGCCATTCCAATTCTTTGCCCTCCAACTCCACTTCCTCACAGAGACCCCGTCAGAGAACATCACTAAATTTCCAGGAGTTAGGGATACATTTCTAATAATCTGGATACTTTCAAAAAAGACAGGGAAGCCCTGTCGTTACAGAAAAGCTTCACCACCCAACCCCTGCTCCAATACGAAAGAGGCATATACTGTCAATAATCAGTGCTTTTAATTACATTTTAAAATATCATTCTGAGTTCTGCCTATAGCTCGATGGAGGCTGAGAACCGTGAAGCAGCCAGGAGCAAATGACTGTAAACCCAGACCCACCTCCTCTGTGGCTGGTGCTGCCTCGTGGCTGCACCCACCCCCTACCCCTTCTCCCCACCTCTACTCTGGAGCAGAAGCGAGCAAAGTTCTACTTAATAGGTGACATTTCAGGCTTGAGGCCATGTGGTCTCTATGACAACTACTCAGTTCTGCCTTCTAACTGAAAGCAGCCATAGGCAGTACATAAATGAATGGGCACGGGCTGTGTTTCAATAAAGCTTTATTTACAAAACTGGGTAGCCAGCCCGAGGGGCATGGTTTGCTGACTCTTGCTCTAGAACAAAGCAAAATGTATCATTTCTGAACTGCAATAAAGCTTGTGCTGCAAAAGCAGCACCTCTGCTGGCGTCTGTCTGCTCTGTCCACTGGCCCTGGACTTGCGTGTGAACAGGCTCGATAAGGGGGTCTAAGTCTGCAGGTGAAGGTATGGACCACAGTCAAGATCCTGACAGCCTGTCTTTAAGAGGGGCTGCCAAACTAATCCCATTTCAGGGGGCCCACGTGACCTCACTTCCCATGTTTCTCCCCCACCTCATGGCCTCTCTGTTACCATGCAGAGATCAAGTCAGCCTCCAACTTACTAAGAATCTTGCTCTTCTCTAATTCTGGTCAAAAGAATAAATAATCAGTTGAGGGGGAGGGGGCGAGCTAAGCCCAGGTTTCTACTTGATAAGGATGTAAAAGATGTTCTTTAAAAAAATAAGTTACATAAAAACGTCTGGACAGAGAGCTCCTAACTAGACCACCAGCCACAGAAAAGACGAGAGCTAAATAAACCCCGCACAGCACGAGCCTCGTCTGCCGTCTGCACACCTTCTCACCGTCCGCCCATCCTCAGAGCCTCGCTCCAGGAGACAGCTGGGCTTGTGTGGCCACGGCGCGCTCACACGACCCCACCAGAGAAGCTTCTCCTGGACCAGACAGAATAGACCTCAGAACCCCAGCGCACCTGGCGCAGCGCACTCCCCGCCGAGTGGCAGCCGGGCCACCATGGTCCCTCCGCTAGCCTTTCTCAGACAGACGTGCCCGGGGGGCGATGCACCACCGGCTCCTCCCTTTCAGCCAAAAGGCCGACCGGGTGTGGCTTTTGCGGCCACCGTCTTCCTCCCTGAGAATCACTGCTGTTCAGGTGCCTGTTTAGGAGATGGGGCTGTGGTCACGACGACCGTGGAGACGGCTTTGGAGGAACCAGAAGCTGTTCCTTGTTGAAGGTGGGACGCGGGGACCGTCTGGATGCGCACCTGTTTGCAGAAAGAGTGACTGGTCGGCAGACTGCCCATGGCCCGTCAGCTGAGGACGAGCAGCACGGGGCAGGAGGGCAGCCCGACACGCGCAACGGGTGCCCGGACCTCACCTGTGTGGCCTGACCCTGCTGCTGGAGCTGCTGCAACTGCTGGGCGGTGAGGAAACTAACCGGCTTGTTGCCAGCAATGAGCTTCGTGCCTGCTGGCATGGTGGTGAGGATGATGTTGCGGCCCAGCCCGCCAAGGCTGCGGAGGGGAAGCGGGAGTGAGGCACGGCCCGGCCAGGCCAGCATGAGGCCAAGTCTGGGGCCAGCGGAAAACCCCGGCACTCTGGACTGAAATGGAAACCGGCTGCCAAGACCACCTTTCTTCCAGCTTCTATGCTTCCCGTGTCAGAGAAGAGAGCAAGGCCAAAGGCTCCCGGTGCTTTGGATGAGATGGCCCCGTAACCGCTCCACGACCAGCAGGAGTAACGGACGGGGCCCCAGCAGGTATGCACTCCTGACCAGAAACCCAGCCCTGCCAAGGCAGCTGCCCTGAGAGCAGCAGACTCATCTCCTCATGCCCTCCATCCCCAACTAAGTCAGAGCCACGAGACGCCCAGGCCCCCAGGAGGCCCTCACCTCTGAGCCATCAGAGCCCAGGGCTCAGACATCACGGCGAGGCCTTCCCTAACGCCCATGCCGGGGACTGCCCCCAGCTGTGTCACGCCCACCCCCCATCCAGCTCCACCTGTGCCCTCCCCTGCTTTCCCTAGAGCACATCACCGGCCACACAGTACTTTTAACTCACTATTCCTCTCCCCACTCACTCTACAGTATAAGCCTGAAGGCAGCACCAACTTCTGTCTGTTTTAATCACTGCTGTATCCACAGCACCTAAAACAACGCGGGGAGCTCGAGACTCACTGCTGAGCACAACGAAGGAGCCCGGGACACCAGCCGCCTTCCCCTCCGTGTCTAGGCATCCCCCCACCGCCGCCCGCCCAACCCTCTACAGCACTTACTTGGCTCCAAGGTTGCCTTTGATGATGGGGGCTGTGACCACACCCTTGCCCTTCATGGGCTGGCTAATGACAGAGAGTGGAACTGTGATCCGCGTAGGCAGCTTCCCCTAGAAAGACAAAGCAACTGGGTTTACGGAATGCAAGGAGAGAAAGACCGCCACGCAGCGTCACCCAGCATCACCCAGGGCCACCCAGCTGCTATGAGCCCCCTCTCTCCTGCCTCAGAAAGCAGAGCAGCCGCACGCACCTGCCGTCATCAGGGCAAGACATGTGCCTGAACCACCAAGGAAAGAGTGTGTCCACTTAGGCACAGTATGAGCCTGAGCTGACAGAGGGGAGGGTCTTACTCATCCACGTACCCCCAACACTGGGGACACAGCCAGGCGGAGGAACTGAGCAAGGACAGAGGCACTCAGGAGTGAATACAGCAGGTGCATAACTGCTGCTCCCCTCGAGCAGGCGCACTGCTGGGGAGCACACAGCAGGACACATTCCCTGAATGCTCTGTTTCTCCCAGAGGTAAGGGAGGTTAGTCAATGGACACTAGTAATAAACTCAACCACATGAAAAGTCCAAGTCACAGCTAATAAGGCCCAGAGGAACACAAAAGGAGCTGGAAAGACCTGGTATCTTCGGGATTTCATGATGGCTGGGGTTCGGCCACTACACTAGCCTATTTTTAGGTTGCCTGGTTTTTAACCCTTGGTTGATGATAAAATTTATATACAGTAGGATCCTATATACATACAACTTTAAAAAATGATTCAAGAGGGGCAGCTAACAAGATGCAAAGAAAAGGAATCAACATTTCCCACAGGCAAGCTGGTTCTAAAGAAGCCAGGCATTCAGGAGGAAAACTGTATACCAGGGCACCACACTGATCTCCACAGCTGAGCTCAACTGTAGCCCCTTAGAAAGCATGGAAAGATGTCAGTGGACAAGAGAACATGGCCAGATGGGGCCTCCAAGGGAACCTACTAGGGTTGTATTGTCGTCCTAAAAATCCCTAGTGTTGAGAACAAGACCGCTTCAGACGAGCCGTCCACCAACTTGTGTCCCTCCATGAACTAGCCTACCAGCTGCCTAGACAGACAGGCAGCACCACTCAGTACTTCCTGCCCCACCAAATGCTCTCCGGTTACAGTGACCCTGATTGATGACAACAGGGTAGATACCGCTGGATTCACCTTTCTGCTTCAGAAAGACTCAAGAGAAACAAAAGTGGATCAAGTAAGCACGTCTCCTTGCTTTCTTATTTTAACTTCTCTGATAAGAGAACCTAAACAAACATTTCCTTTAAAGCGACACTGCACTTCAGGGTTGGCTGGTTGGCTTTACTACCGTGTAGGTCCTCCTTCCTCCCACTAATCCTCTGGATTTTATCCAAATTAGTAACGTTTTACTATATTGCCTGCTTAGAAAAGTAAACTGTATTTTATACTGTCCAGATGCACCCACCATACAGAACAGTGCCCCTTATCTAGAGGTCAAAGAATAAACACATGCACCCAGAAACACACCTGTTGATATGGAAATTTGGTTTATGATAAAGGTAGTACCTCAAGTTAGTGGGGATGACATATACTAGTCAATGATGTTGGAATAATTTGAAAAATATGAGATCTATACCACATGCCATTCACAAAAATATATTTCAAATGGGTTCCTCAATTACTTTTTTTAAACTCTAAAAATATTTTATGAAAATGAGGGCTGACATCTTTATAACCCTGGAGTAAGAAAGGCACAAGACACGAAACCTAGGAGCCGTAAAAGAAAATGTTGATGGATCTCATCAGATAAAATACCTACAGAGCAAAAGGCTTCACGTGCAAGGTTAAAAATTGACAGACTGGAAAAAAATATTTTCTACACGTACAAGAACTAACAAGCAGAAGATACAAAGGCTGGGGCCACAGCTCACACAATACGAAAAGGCCAAATACCCCAGAAGAAAACTGGCAAAGATGGATTCACCCCTGGAGAGCCCACGCCAACCTCTGGACGAATGGCTGCCCATCCTCACTAAAGATCCAGGGAACAGAAAAAGAACTCTCTTTTTACCAGTAAGATAGGGACATAAAGCTTAAAAAAACAGGATATCCAGCACGAGGTTAGGGTACGAGGGAAACAGGAAACTAGCTGATGGGGGGAGTGTAGGCTGGTGTGGCCTTTTTGCTAATACAACTGGAGTATCAGAACTTTCAACGAGTACCTCCCCGAGCCATGCCAGGAACCTCTGCTCCTGAAATACTGATACATGTTCACATACACAAACATGCACTGTAGCAATGGTTTTTAACAAGATACTAAGTATCGTAGGATCTGGAATGAGGCCCAAGACACATTTTTAGATATTTAAATAAAGCAAATCACAGATTGAGGTCTCTCACAGGGATTTTAAAACCACGTAAATATATACGAAAATGCTCAGAAAAAGAACTAGGAGGATAATGCCAAAACACGACGAGTGATGAGCCTCACAAAAGACGAATCAGAGGTGGTAAGAGGAACTTCATACTTACACCGTGTACCTCTGCACTGTTTTACTTTTTTTTTTTTATAACATCTTTATTGGAGTAGAGTTGCTTCACAACGTTGTGTTAGTTTCTGCTACATAACAAAGTGAATCAGCTTTATGCATACGTATATCCCCTGCACTGTTTTATGAGAACGCATGCCCGTGCTACACTTTCGTAAATTTGTCTCAGAATTAAACAGCAAAGTATTTTAGTAAATAAGCCTGTTTGGGTCAAAGGAGGAGACAGACAGGGCTTCTAGTCTGCACTCCCAACAAGAGAAGCTTCCCAAGCAGAAGGGCTGGTCTCCACCACCAATGTTACTCACAGCCTGGGACGTGGAAACAACCGTGGTGCTGACGGGGACCTGCCGCACGGCAGGGGCTCCCGTCCCGATGCTGATGGGGGTGCTGGAAGCCCCAGAAGCCACGGCCACAGTCTTGGACACGGCAGCATTCACACTGGGCAAGGACACCGCAGACGTATGGACAGTTCCAGACCCACTGGCCACGGAGGGCCCTTGCTTGGCATGGGCTGCGACTGTGATGGTCGGGCCTGCTTTGGGGGGCATCACCCCCAGGCCCTGCACGATGCGGATGGTGGCGGCTGGTTTGGCTTCAGATGAGGCCACTGTGTTTTTCCCCTTCTGGTCAGCCACACTCACGCCAAGCGCTGGCATCAAGCGAAAAGCTGAACTTGAGGCTTCTGTTGGCTTGAGGTCAGGAGTCACTTTGACCACGGTGGTCCCTGGTGGAGTGGATGAGGGGGCACTGGCTGGACTGGCCTTGGCAGGGCTGTCAGCTGCGTGGACTGGGTTGGAAGTGACATGTAAGGTAGCAGAGATGCCTTTGCCTGTGGGGCCGCTGCCTGTCCCAAAGAGGTCCTGGGTCAGTTTGACTGTGGTGACCTGGGACTTGGCCAACGTGGCCATCATGTCTGGAGTGATCCGCAGAACAGTCTGGCCTTTGGCGTCCGTGGTGATAGAGGAGGGCGGTAGCCGCAGCACGTCCTTGCCCTGGATACGGAAGTTAGTGGCTGTGAGTGGGATGCCGCTGCCCGTCTGGGGCTTCACGCCGAGCTGCCCAGTGATTGCCACCTGGAAGGGAAGAACAGCACTGACAAAGGCGTTCGCGAGGCTGAGCTGCTTCCAGAGCGTGACTGGGGGAACCTACACTGTGGGAAATGTGGGTCTCATGTATTTTTCTAACTTTCTATTTTGAAAAATGGAAGACATTTGCCAAAGCAGAAAACAGTCTAACAAATCCATGCACCCATCACATAATTTCAAAAGTTATCACTTGGCCAATTTTATCTATCTTTCCCCACTCTTCAGGGAGCTGGGGTGGGGGGAGGGAGGAGTTGGAATATTTTAAAGTAAACCAATAAGTATCATTTTGCTGATCAACACATTCATCCCTGGATATCCAGGGCTGCTCAAGTCCCTGACATAAAATGGCACAGGACAGTCGGCCCTCCGTACCTGCGGGTTCAAAAGCAAAATTCGGTCACTGGTTGGTTGAACCCGTGGAGGCGGAACCCAAGGAAAGAGAGGGCCGACTGGACTTCTACATGTCTCTAACCTAGAAGAGGACTTCTAAATGTAAAAGTAATCCCCTATCATCACCACATAATCACCTGTAGATATTATAACACACACTAGCATTTCCCCTACAGTCTCAAAAACGCCTCACTGCTGTGCCGACCTCCACTCTGAGGCAGCAGCAGGGCCCGGCACTAAAGGGCATGAGCCCCGGGGCCAGACTTCCTGAGTTCACATACCAACTCCTACCTACGGCCAATGTCCACGTGCAACAGGTGCGATCCTTCTAGGCGGGGGACTCTGTCTCGTGAGCCATCCCCCCTCTACTGGACCACTCATGCCATCAGTCGAGTTCACTCACTATCCATGTCCACTGAGTGGTCACTTCTCAGGCCTCGTTTCACTGCCCTTCACACGCCTGGTGCTGCTACGGACTTCGTGAGCACACTTTCCTCTCAGCCTGTCTCAGTCTCCACACCACAGTGTTTCCTTCTGTCTCAGTGAACGACAGTACCGCACACCCAGTCACTCAAGCCAAGAGCCACAGGGTCATTCCTGACCCTGTCCTCAAACCACCAGGAAATCACACTGGTCTACCGCCAGGCCCTTGGCTTGAAGCCCAGCCCACCGCCCACCTGCACGGCTGCAGCTCCCTCCCAACTGGCTTCCCTGCTTACGCCCTTGGCCCCTAAAGTCCATTCCACGCAAAAGCAGTGGAATGGACTTTAGATTTCTTTAAATGTAAACTAGGTCAAGTCATCCTGGCTCACAATCTTCCGATGGCTCCCATCACATTTAAATTAAAAGCAAAGTCTGACGTGACTTAACCACTGGCAGCCCCGCCTTCTAACACCTGCGCACTTGCTCATGGAGCTTCCAACAGCGTTCCTGTCGTTCCTCAAACGTTCCCAACTCGAGGCCTTTTCACATGCTGTTCCCATGCCTGGGACGCTTGACCCCGGATAAGCACGGTTCCGCACACTCTCCAGCCTCGCTCACTGCTCTCACAAGCCTTCTCCCCAGAGAGGTGTTCTCTATGACACTAGGAGCCTCAGGAAGGCAGGGGCCTGGTCTGGGTGATGCACAGACTCAGCCCCCAACACCCTGCACAGTGGCCGGCACACAAAAAGCACCCAATAAACATCTGATGAAAAAAATAACATTACTTCATCATTAGTGGTCCCATTTCTTCAACAGTAAAATAGGGATAACAAAAGTGCCTGCCCTGTGGTGTTATGAGAGTGACATTCAAGTTATTCTATAGGGTTTTAGCTAAGTAAATTCATGAAGAGTCTACTCCAAATCAAGAAACTCAGCTACTTAATGCTGAATTACATGGAAAGAGATAGGAAAAAAAAAAAAAAAAACAACCTCTTTGGCACCTACCAAGCTTGCACTGCCCTTGCTGGAAACTCACGCTTGAAATACCTACGAACTAAGGATCAAAGGTCACAAGCCACTAAGATCTCCAACTATCCTTTGATTCTGGACAAAGGAGTCAGACCCACCCCGACAGCCATGCACCTACCTGCTTGATAATGTTCTGTCCTGTGACGTTCTGAATGACGGCAGCCGCGGGGGTGCTTGGAGCAGAGCCCCCAGGAGAACCGGTGGCCGGCTTGCTCGCAGGGTTGGCTGCGGCAGGGAGACTTGTCACCGTGAGCCCCGTCGGCCCCGGTCGCTGCACGGTGGCCGCCGCAGTCTGAGCTTTGACTGGAACGGTGGCCATTACTGTCTAGTTCAGGGCAGGAGGGCAAGAGCTTAATTAGACACTAAGCTGCAGACCAGCACGTGGAGTGGTCTCCACCTGTCACCACCCAGGAAGCGTTCCTGTAAGAGGGCTTCTAATCTAACAATGCTGAGGGTGCACTACCCTCTAAAATGAACAGTGCGGAGTACTTACCCTCAGGTAGAACATCTTAACTTTCAGGAATACTTTCTCATTTAACATCTCATTTCACCCCTACACACTGAGGGCAAACGTTATACCCCTTTTACAGCAGAGGGACCTGAGGCAGGAGACCCTTGTCTAAAGCACAGCAGTTAGTGGCCTGGCTAAGCCTAGAGGCATGAGGGAAGGAGCCTGAGACCTAGAATCACAGGCCTGGATTTACATCCCACCTCTATCTACCAGGGTCCTGATGTCACAATCCTGCGTAAATCGCTAAACTTGCCAAAGTTCTGATTCCCAACAGGTATTCAATAAAACACAACTTATAACTTGCTTACCAGGCTTTGGACATTAAATGAGCTGTTGTGATAAACATCATCGTCAGCAGCAGTAACCTGGGTCCTGGGTCCTGACCCAGACTGCCTGGCAGACTCATCACCCCAGCCCCTGGGCCCCGTCCCTCCTTACCTGGGGCCCGCCTTTGGTCGGCACGGCCGTGCCTGGCACGCGAATCTGCGGTCCTGCTGTCATCTGCGGCAGCGTCGGTGCCGGCCCTGCTGACTGAGTCACAGCAGGAAGGTTGGGCTGGGCCACCACCCGCACTTGGGGGAGTCCAGCTGAGCCGGAGTGGCTCACGACACGGGCAGCAGCCTGAGAACTCGGTGGAGTCTGGCTGGACGCCGGGGAGAGCATGGTTCCCAGCTGCGGCATCGTTGGCGAAGACACGAGAAGAACACTATAAAGAACACACAGGGAAACAACACAGACAACTTAGGACACGGATTCAAAAGAACCCTGGAGGGAGAAAGCTGGAGAGGAAATGGAAGCGCTCACCCCGAAGTGGATTTCACCGGTTCCGAGACAGTCGTGGGGCCACTTTTGTTCACTGACGGCACAGGCGGGGGGGAGATGGGCGTGGCAGGCAGAGCAGGAGTGGTGGGGGTCACAGGCGTGACCGGGGTTGGGGGCATGCTAGAGTCGCTGAGGCTCAGCTGGCTCTGCTCAGAAGGGCCAGTGCCGAGGACCTTCACCGAACCCTCCTTGCTGCTGGACTTCTGCACAAGGACGGGGAGCACACGGACGCGGGAGTGAGCAAGGCCCGCGGGGATGCCACAGCCCCTCTTCCGCTGTCCCGCGAGGTCACTTACCACCTTGGATGGGGGCTTGGGTTTTTGCTGAAGGGCTTTCCTGGCTTTAGCTGCAGCTGCTTGGGCCTGGTGGATCCGCTCTGTGGACAAGAGTGGGAAGCTTCAGCAACAGCTTAACCTCAGCACTGTATGGAGGGTGGTCTCACCAAGAGCCAGGGCGCTAACCCGCCTCTACAACTCTGTCCTGCCCGCACGCCAATGAGAAGAGTGGAGCTGGGGCGGGAGGGCAGAGGCAGCCCTCAGCTGGCTGGGCACACACCGAACTCTTCCTCGCTCCGGTCCCGATGCAGGTAGATCCACAACTTCCGTCCGATGTCGTACTTCACACACGGGTCCTTCTCGTAATGCAGCCGATCCAGGGCACCACTCACCACTGTATTCACCTGAGACACAGGACAAAGAGGAGGAAGGACCACGCAGGCTCAGACTCGGGGAAAATCCCTGGATGAGAGGCACAGCCAACACAAAGATCCTACCTCCCAATGGCTAACCCCATCACTCGGCAAAACAAGAAACTACGAGTCCTGAGAGATGGAGGTGCTGTGCCCTAAGATGGTGAGCTGAGAGAAGGAGAGCCTCGCCAATGGCAAGGTCGAGGGGCAGCACTGCTCTCCTTTCTCAAGACGGCATCCTTTCGTCTCCATCAGTTTTTTTTGGCTGCGCTGCATGGCTTGCAGGATCTTAGGTCCCCGATCAGGGACTGAACCTGGACCCTCAGTAGTGAAAGTGCCGGGTCCTAACCACTGGACCACCAAGGAATTCCCCATTAGTTTTTTTTTTTAATTTTACATTATTCTATCTTGTATCTCCTTGTAAGCTCCCTTAAATCCATCCTGGAACAAAACACGAGCAGCCCTTCCCCTCCTACCTGAGTGCTGGTGACGTCTGGAGCCAGGAACTGGGAGTCCTTGAGCAGCTCACAGATCTCCGCCCGCGTGCCCTCCCCGTTGGGCAGCCGGGCCGCGGCATCGCGAACTGACACCAGAAACAGCAAAGTCCGAGCGTCAGCAGGGCTCCCCGGGGGAGCTGTCCCCCACCTGCTGACCAGCAGCAGGTGGACATGGCCTCTGCGGGCAGCTTCTTCCACACCCTTCACACTTTCAGCCAAGGCTGAAGACCCCAGGACCCCTGAGAGTTCAGTGCGTTCAGGAACTCAGGCAGAAAAAAGTTACAACTTTAACTGAAATACAGCATTTCCTTCCATTGTGAACCAAGGTTGGCATAACCTTTGTTGGCATATGTTGCCAACCATATGATGGCAGTGCCGTGATGCTGTAATGGAAATCAGACATTTTCTTATCACAGCACAGCTGCTGCGGACAACCCAAAATATCATTTCCACTCATCACTAGCTGGGAACTAGAGGAGTTAGAAGACCTGCCCCTAGATCTTGTCTTTTTTTTTTTTTTTTTTTAAGTATGGTTGATTTACAGTGTTCTGTTAGTTTCAGGTGTAGAGCAAAGTAATTCAGTTATACATATATATATAACATATATATTATGTTATATATATATATTATTTTTCAGATTCTTTTCCCTTATAGGTTATTAAAAAATATTGAGAATAGTTCTCTGTGCTAAACAGCAGTAGGTCCTTGTTGGTCATCTATTTTATATATAGTAGTGTGTATATGTTAATCCCAAACTCCTAATTTATCCCTCACCCCCTTTCCCCTTTGGTAACCATAAGTTTGTTTTCTATGTCTGTGGGTCTATTTCTGTTTTATATATAGGTTCATTTGTATCATTTTTTTCTGGATTACACTTACAAGTGATATCCTATGATATTTGTCTTTCTCTGTCTGGCTTACTTCGCTTAGTATGATAATCTTTAGGTCCATCTGTATTGCTGCAAATGTCATTATTTCATTCTTTTTTACAGCTGAGTAATATTCCACTGCCCATATATGTATGTGTATATATATGTATACACACACACACACACACACACACACACACACATATATATACATACACATATATATCTCACATCTTTTTTTATCCATTCATCTGTTGATGGACATTTAGTTTGCTTCCATGTCTTGGATATTGTAAAATAGTGCTGCTTTGAACACTGGGGTGCATGTATCTTTTTGAATTATGATTTTCTTCAGGTACATGCTCAGGAGTGGGATTGCTGGCTCATATGGTGACTCTAGTTTTAGTCTTTTAAGGAACCTTCATATTGTTCTTCATAGTGGGATCATGACTTTCCTTTAACGCTCCTCTGGGTGTAGTCACTCCTCCTCCCGTGTCCCCTGCATCGGCAGGCGGACTCTCAACCACTGCGCCACCAGGGAAGCCCAAAAACATACTTTTCTGCACCATAAATCTGTTTTAATATTCTGCTAACAATTTCAATATGACTGGTTTCTTTTATAACTCTGTGCATCTTATTTTAGGCATTTAAAAACTTAATTCTGAGAAGGGGTCCAGAGTTTACCAGACTGCCAGTGATCTGTGGCACAAATAAGGTTAAAAACCTCACCTTTGAAGGAATCCTAGCCTGGAGGAAGCAAATTCCGACACCTGGAGGAAGCAAATTCCGACACCTAAGCTAACTTCTTAGCAGCCTGTGAACAGTTCCTGAAGCAAGGTAAACATGAGCCCAGACCCCAGGGAGGAAACACGGATTCTGTGTAGATCTCTGGGGCAGAATCCCTCCTTCCGCGTCCCAAACTGCAAAGCTTCCTGAAGCTACGCTGACCCTCCAGCCTTTGCAATGGGGGCAGTGGGGAAAGCAGGAGGAGGCACGCACCCAGGGACAGGATGGTGACGTAGGCAGGCCGGTCGGAGCGCAGCAGGGAGTGTTCCCGCGCCTTGTTGAGCGACGTCTCCTTGTCGAACACGCCCTTCACGGGCCCCACCACGGACTCGAAGCCATGCATGCGGAAGGTGAATGCCTTGTGGGGCTGGCTGTACCGGTAACGCTCCTGCCAAAAGAAGGGACGAAGCTCCTGAGTCAGTCACGGGGGCTCTCTCTAGTCACCCCGTACAGGAAGGGGTCGGCCCGGAGACATTAAAGCAAAAAGCAAACAGGCTATTCCACTAGGAACACTGAGCCGACCACAGCGGGAAAAGGATGGTCCCTAAAAGCCAGTCACTAGCAAACGGATTAAGAGGTAAATGTGCTGTTTTGTATCTAGAAGAAAAACCATCAGACCATTTTTCATTCCCTTCCTCACACCATCTCTGCCCCCCAAAAGCAATCCCAACCCACAGAATAGCAAGGTGTGAGTTGCTTCCAAGAATTTGGATTCAAGGACAGTCAGGCTCAGAGCTTCTCACCTCATGGCCTCACAGATACACAGATTTACACTGTGTTCCAGCTTTTTCTTACCTGCTCCTGAAAAACTCGCTTCTCCTCTCCCGTGCTGGGCCGCACCACATAGTCAGTTCTTCTGGAACACAAAGACGTTTGGGTCCATCACCCCTTCTCCAGCACCCCAAACCACTGGGTCCATCGCCCCCTCTCCAGCACCCAGAACCACATCCTTTGCAACATGAGTGCTCCACTTGTTCATTAGTGCTCTTATCTTGCAAAGGTCAGAAGTCCACTTTCCAAATCCTGCCAAGTAGCTCCTGTTGGTATTTGCCAAGTTACTTGATTCTTAGGAATCCAGAAAGGTATTGGGTAGGTGGGAAAGAAAGTGACGTCGTGTTTTACCTACTGTTTTCAGTACTGTTGCTAAGTAAGCCTAATCTAAAGGCAACAAAGAATTCAGCTTTAGAGGAACAAAGGACTTCAAATTTGTACGATGACAAGGGTGGTTTTTCTGCTACCTAGGCAAAAGTACCAAGTAAGTGAGATCAGGGAATTCCCTGGCAGTTCAGTGGTTAGGACTCCGCATTTTCAATGCCGGGGCCCGGGTTCGATCCCTGGTTGGCGAACGAAGCTCCCACAAGCCACGCAGTACAGCCAAAAAAAAAAAAAAGAAAAAGAAAAGAAAAGAAATTGAGCTCTATTATGTAAGGCAATGGTGCTGTCACTTTCAGGTTGGTCCTGAGTGCTGGTGTTCAGGAATCTAACTAAAGAGCTATACAACAGCATCAAAGCAATAAAACTCTTAGAATACATTTAACCAAGGAGGTGGAAAATCTCTACACTGAAAACTACAAGACTTTGGTTAAAGAAATTGAAGAAGACACAAGTAAAAAGATACTCTATGGGGCTTCCCTGGTGGCGCAGTGCTTGAGAGTCCGCCTGCCGATGCAGGAGACGCGGGTTCGTGCCCCGTTTCGGGAAGATCCCACATGCCGCGGAGCGGCTGGGCCCGTGAGCCATGGCCACTGAGCCTGCGCGTCCGGAGCCTGTGCTCCGCAAATGGGAGAGGCCACAACAGTGAGAGGCCCGCATAACGCAAGAAAAAAAAAAAAAAAAAAAAAAAAAAAAAAAAGATACTCTATGTTCAAGGATTGGAAGAATACTGTTAAAATGCCCATATCACCCAAAGTTATCTATAGATTAATGAAATCCCTATGAAAATTCCAATGACATTTTTCACAGAAATAGAAGAAAACAATCCTAAAATCTGTATGGAACCACAAAAGACCCCGAACAGCCAAAGCAATCCTGAGAAAGAACAAAGCTGGAAACATCACACTTGCTGATTTCAAACTATGTTACAAAGTTACAGTAATCAAAATAGTATGATACTCTCATAAAAATAGACACATAAACCAGTGGGACAGAACTGAGAGCCAAGAAATAAACCACTGCATATATGGTCAACTAATACTTGGCAAATGGAGCCAAGAATACTCAATGAGGAAAGAACAGCCTCTTCAATAAACAATGCTGGGAAAACTGGACAACCACAAGCGAAAGAATGAAACTGGGCCCCTACCTTAAACCGTTCACAAAAATTATCTTGAAATGGATTACACTTCAACTTAACACCTGAAACTAAACCTCCTAGAAGAAAATATCGGGAAGAAGCTCCTGCACAATGATCTTGGCAATGATTTTTTGGAGATGACACCAAAAGCACAAGCAACAAAAGCAAAAATAAACAAGTAGAACTACCTTAAAGAAAAGCTTCTGTACAGGGGTCTTCCTGGTGGCACAGTGGTTAAGAATTCACCTGCCAATGCAGGGGACATGGATTCAAGCCCTGGTCCAAGAAGATCCCACATGCCTCGGGGCAGCTAAGCCCGTGCACCACAACTACTGAGCCTGAGCTCTAGAGCCCGCAAGCCACAACACTGAGCCTGTGTGCCACAACTACTGAAGCCCATGTGCCTAGAGCCCGTGCTCCGCAACAAGAGAAGCCACCGCAACGAGAAGCCTGTGCACCGCAACAAAGAGTAGCCCCTGCTCGCCGCAACTAAAGAAAGCCCATGCACAGCAATGAAGACCCAATGCAGCCAAAAATAAAATAAATTTATTTTAAAAAAAAAGCTTCTATGCAAAGAAAACCATCAACAAAATGAAAAGGCAACCTACAGAATGGCAGAAAATATTTGCAAATCATACATGTGTAAGAGGTTAATAACCAAAATATTTAAGGAACTCCTACAACTCAAAAGCAAAATACCCAAATAATCCAATTAAAAAACAGGCAAAGGACCGGAACAGACATTTTTCTAAAGATACACGAATGACCAACAGGTACACAAAAAGGTGCTCAACATCACTAATCATCAAGGAAATACAAATCAAAACCACAATGAAATATCACTTCACATCCATTAGAGTACCTATGACCAGAAAGACAAGAAATAACAAGTGCTGGTGAGGATGCAGAGAAAAGGAAACCCTTGTGCACTACGGTGGGAATGCAACCTGGTGCAGCTGTTAGGGAAAGCAGCATGGACGTTCCTCAGAAAACTGAAAACAGAACTACCACATGATCCAGCAATCCTACCTCTGGGAATATTTCCAAAGGAAATGAAACCACTATCTCAAACAGCTATCTGTACCCCCATGTTCACTGCATTATTTACAATAGCCAAGACATGGAAACAACTGTGATAGATAAGTGTCTACCAACAGATGAATGGATAAAGAAAATATGTATGTACACACACACACACACACACACACACACACACACACACACACACAGCGGAATGTTATTCAGTCATTAAAAAACGTAGGAGGGCTTCCCTGGTGGCGCAGTGGTTGAGAGTCCGCCTGCCGATGCAGGGGACGCGTGTTCGTGCCCCGGTCCGGGAAGATCCCACATGCCGCGCAGCGGCTGGGCCCGTGAGCCATGGCCGCTGAGCCCGCATGTCCGGAGCCTGTGCTCCGCAACGGGAGAGGCCACGACAGTGAGAGGCCCGCGTACCGCAAAAAAAAAAAAAAAGTAGGAAATTCTGCCATTTGCAAGAACACGGATGGATCTAGAGGGTATTATGCTTAGTGAAATAAGTCAGTGAAAGACAAACACTGTATGATCTCACACGTGGAACCTAAAAGAAGCGCAACTCACAGAAACAGAGCCTAGAATGGTAGTTACCAGGGGATGGGTGAAATGGGGAAACACTGGTTAAAGTTATAGAAAGTTCTAGGGATCTAACAAAGAGCACGGTGATTACAGTCAACAATACTGCATCATATACTTGAATGTTGCTAAGAAAGATCTTAAATGTTTTCACTACAAAAAAAGAACTGGTAATTATGTAAGGTGACGGATGGGTTAACTACCCTTACTGTGGTAATCACTTCACTATATGTATATGTACATATATGTGTGTGTGTTTATATATATATATATATATATATATAGATATAGATATAAATAAAATCAATACACCGTACCCCTTAAACTTATAAAATGCTTTGTCAATTATATCTCCACAAAGCTGGGGAGAAAGGGACCATGACAGACTGGAAACAGTCACATAAGATGATACAAAGGCTCAGGACGAGGTCGAGACCTAAATCCCAGCCTGGGTCCTGTCACTTACCCTCACACTTCCCTTTCTTTGTAGGTAAAATGAGGAAAATGGGCTGCATAACCCATTCTCCAGCAGGAACTGAAGGGGGCACTGGGGAAAAGCATGCACCTACAGGTGGATCCCACCTCCTCAGAGACTCATGGGGAAAACACTTCTACTGCTGGGAGCGTGCTGCCTCTTAGGGAGGCTGAGGCAGATAAGGACCAGTGGATCCCGGCATCTCAAGCCCACTCTGGCTCTAACATACAAGGATGTGTCAGCACAACCAGGGCAGTACTTAGATGCTTTCTTGGGGCACCATCCTCCGTTAAGAGTACTATACTCACACCCGAGGAACAGGCGTTGTGGCATCTGAGCTGTCTTCATTTTCTTGCTGGAGAAAAGGAAAGCAGTAACAGGTAAATGGACTGAAGGATTTTGGCTAACTCAGGGTTCTGGAAGCCCAGAATGAGAAAGCTAGTAGTTCTCAACAACCATACCTTACAGAAGGTCTGGTCTTTAGTTTCCAGCCACAGCTGGAAGAGTGCAGCTAACTCCTTTTCATTATCTTGGGACTGGCCTATTAGAACAAAAAGGCAAAAAATAATAATATGATCTAAGGATATGACCTGAGGATGCCACTTCCTCCTTACTTACACTATCTACACCTGGACCTGTAGCGATGGTCCTGTACACACAATACCCCTCTGCCTGGACATCCACAGGCAGAATGAAACTGGACCCCTGTCTGACACCACTCACAGAAATTAACTTGAAATTAACTGGAAGGGACTAAACACTCACCTTGCTGGATTAACTTGAAGGGTCCGGATGGACATCCGGATGGACAGTCCAGCCAGCACCCTAACTCCTCAGTCGCGTGACCTCAGGGGCCTCCTGCCCCCACTCCAGACTCTCACTCCCACTATCACAACTGGACCTTGTCATTCCCCCAAATGGGACTCTTCAAAATGCCTAATCCAGTTTCTCAACCCTGGCTATGCCTAAGAATCACCTGGAAACTTTTAAAAATGCCAAGGCTCGGGCCCCACTCAACCAATCAATCAGAACCCCTGTGGGTAAGGCCCAGGCACCAGCGTTTTTAAAAAGCTACCCAACTGGCGGCAGCACACGGCCAGGACTGGGAACCTTCAACTAACCGCGCATCCCCCTCTCTGGCCGCAGCAGCCTCCCCTCCTCTCCCCGCTGTCTACCCTCGCCCACCAAAACGTTACCTGGACTCCACCGCACTGCTGGTCCAGACACCCCACTTTCCGGCCCCCTCAGCCCCTCCCTTCACACTCCCCCCACTCGGCGAGGGCCCACGCCTGTCACTTCAACGACATGCCGAGCAACACAGCAATACCTAACACCTGTCCCTTCCGTCTCTGCATCACTTCTGTCGTCTCTGCATCACTTCTGTCGAGCAAAGCTCACATCCTAAACCAGCCATATTCTCCACTCGGGCAGCTGCCGGCTGCCAAAGACAAGGCCCACAGACAGGCAGAGAACACCTCTACCAATGAGCGGACAGCCACCGTCACTGGCCCTCAATCTGCCGGCGAGCCCCGCGCCAGCCGGCCTCCCTGCCCGCTGGACAGCAACTGCCCCCCACTTCTCCACCGCCCTTCCCGCGCACAGTAGGCCTCCCACCTCCCACAGAAAGCCACAGACACACCCCCTCAACTCCCCAAGGCGCAACCCAGCAGCCACGGCTCCTCCTCCACCCGGACAGATGTGCTGCCTCCTGCCACCTGAGGCCAGCCCCTGCCCCCAGGAATTCACCCTGTGACAGGTGTCCCCTCCTCTCCTGTCCCTTAAGTCCTCTCCTGGACACAAGCCCTGCTTCCTCTGCTCCCCTCTGCCACCAAACCTCTAGAAAGCACTGTCCACACTCACTGTCTCTTTAACCAGGGGGACTGGGAAACGTTTTCCTGCCTGCAGGAAAGGGGGCCTGATCGGTAGCACGTGCAGACCTCTGCGGTGTACGTGAAGGTCAGCAAACCACTTCTGGAAACAAAGTTTTGTGGCCATTTGTTTACACCCTGTCTCTGGCTGCTGTGCACAGGGCAGAGTTGAGTAGTCGCAGCGGAAAGCATCTGGCCCACAGGCTTGAGACACTTATTACCTGGTCCTATTAGGGCAGCCTCCCGTGGCCGATTCTCCGCCACCAGCCGGACAGGTGGGAAGAGCTGCAGACAGCTCACGAGCGGCCTCACCTCACCTCTGCCTGCAACCGGCATCACCCCACTAAGGAATCACTCCTCTAAGGGAGCCATCATTTCTTCCATGTCCACAAATCCAGTCTTGACCTTCCTGAACCTTAGGAACAATGAAGGTTAATGACCACTCCCCACCTCCTGACTCTCAGACCTCACAGCTTCCACCTGACTCTGCGGTCACTGCCTCTCCAGTGTCCCCACTCAGCCTCTGCCACCTCGGAGCTTATCGAGGCTTAGTCCCAGGCCCTCTTTCCTCCTCATTCTCCCCATGCCTTTGACTTCGCTTACTGTACATGTGCCCACAGCTTTCTACCCTGACTGTGGGTCTGGACTCTAAACCCACTGCCTACTTAACATGTCCACTTCAACACCCCAAAGGCAGCTCAAGGCAGCATGTGCACAACTACACTCACGCGCCTCACCCTCACCCAGGCCTGGACGCCCTCCCCAGCTGCCTACGTCGATGGCAGACCCCCATCCGCCAGGTACAAATCTAGCAGAAGTGACACCTGACTGCCCTCTTCCTTCACTCGCCACACCCAATCCACAACCACATCCTCCGGCTTTTACCACCTAAAGCTCCCAAATTCATGCATCCTCTCTACCCAGGTGCAACATCCTCTCTGCGCAGGCCTGTGTGATCTCCGCGGGAACCATCCCTGAGTCACTGACCCACACGGCTCCCCCCGTGGGGAGCCGCCTCCCCTCCGCCTGCCTGGCTCATCTCTAGTCGTTGTTAAGACCGCTGCTCAAACGACCTTCCCCAGGAAGGCCCTCCTGGACTCCACAGGCATGCCACACCAATGCCTCCTTACAAACGCCCACCCCTACTGGCACTTTTCCCTTACAGAATGGCTAAGTTTGTCATTTCATTCGAATGAGTATTTGTTCCCCAAACAAACTCCACGAGGGGAGCACGCTGTCTACCTCACAAACCATTACACCCCTGGCACCTAACAGTGCCTGACACCTAGAAGGTTAATCCATGTTGTAAGCAATGAACGCATCCATCACTTCCACAACCTTCTCTCCATGTTTCTCTTCATAGACCACTGGACAGAGTGGAAAAAGGTTTGTCCATTTCCACAGGAAATCAACACTGAACCTTCCTCTCATCACCAAGTTATTTCAGGTACATATGTTACTACAACTTACACAGTAAGTGGAACTTCACAAATTTATAAGAAAAAGAACCTGTTCTTTAGAAGTAGCTTACTGAGGGCTGCCCAACACATTATCCTCAATAGCAAAACCCATTTTAGGAAAGAAAAACAATCATATTACTACAAATTAACCTAAAACCACAGATATGGTTGACATAAATGTAGGTGCTACTGTAAAACATCCCACAGATTTCAATTCAGCCAGCCCCAGAGTGCAGCAGAACTGAAGGGCAATGCCACCTCAGCCAACTCCAACGGGGGTGAACTCAGACCCTGAGAATTTCTTGAAGGACTCTTTTACTGAGCAAAATAAGGTTTAATATTGCCTTTTTCAACATTCTCCTGGCACACACTGACTGGAAGGCACAAGCAGCTCGGGGAGAAAACGAGAGAAAGAGAACCTACTATGACAGGTAGGTGACGTGCATTACTCACCAAGCAACTTCCACTGCTGGGTTTTCTCTTTGAAGCCAACAAATGGAGAGAAGCTGGAAGGTACAGCTGCAAGAAATGGATCCCATGAACAAGCCACACAGGTCAGAGCGATTGCTAAACTCAGAATAACTGACACCCCTGAGCTCCGAGATAACTTCTGTATGTTAATGGTGTATCAGGACAGCAGAGACCTCCAAGGCACGGCATCGCATCATGCAAAGCCACAACGGATGTAACCAGTAAAGTTGCAGTCTACTATGAGAATTAGACAAAGCGGGGTAAATACTGGGCCCTACAAAACAAAGTACCTTACCACGGCTTTCTCCAGCAAGATACTGCAGGGCTGGTAACACCAACTCTGCCCAGTTGGGGGCCGCAGAGAACCAGCTATTGAGGGAGCTGGCTGGAGATGACTGCCAGTCCAAAACTCGCTCCTCTAGCTGAGGGAGAGTAAAGGCAAAACCCGGTTAGATTTCTATTCCACGCCAGCAATTCCAAGGCTGTGCCAGAACGAACTGGCTATGTCTATCCAGTCTGCTCAAGTCACAAAGCAAGTCAGCTGTGGAGCTTCGCAGGGAACCCAGAGCTGAAGATTTCTACAATCTGAAACTGCTACACACTTGGCTTTTCCAAAATTCTTACCATAGGAAGGCTAGCCTGCCCCTCCAGCAACAAGATCTCCAAGAGAAGAGAGAAGAAGCTGGAAGATATTTCATTGATTCCAAGGCAAGGCTTGAGGTCTTCGAGAGGCCTAATGAGGGAAGAAAAATATAAGAACCACCAAAAAGGGCTTCCCTGGTGGTGCAGTGGTTAAGAATCCATCTGCCAATGCAGGGGACACGGGTTCAAGCCCTGGTCCTGGAAGATCCCACATGCCGTGGAGCAACTAAGCCCGTGCGCCACAGCTACTGAGCCTGTGCTCTAGAGCCCGCAAGCCACAACTACTGAGCCCGTGCGCCACAACTACTGAAGCCTGCGCACCTAGAGCCCGTGCTGCGCAACAAGAGAAGCCACCGCAATGAGAAGCCCGTGCACTGCAAGGAAGAGTAGCCCCCGCTCACCGCAACTAGAGAAAGCCCACACGCAGCAACGAAGACCCAACACAGCCAAAAATAAATTAAAAAAAAAAAAAAGAACCACCCAAAAGACCAAGAACACATGCCTAGGTTGCTTTAGGTCCTCCAAGCCTCCTAGCCGTCGTAAAAAAGCTCAGTGAAAGCCCACACCATACACGTTCCCCAGCAGGACCCCTGGGACCTAGGGCTCTCAAGAAGCACCAGCTCTGGGGACAGCCCTGAGCCATGACCCCTGTTGCTCACTTACTCCTCCTTGATAGCAGGTATAGCCAGTGGAGACGGTGCCTGTGAGAGGGGTGGCAGACCTTCAGTACCGCTTAGGGGTTCCGCCAGATCCTCTGCCTCTGATTTGATCATTTTTATTTTCTTCTTCTTCCTTTCCTCTTTTTCCTTAACCTTTTTTTTAAGGACAGCCAAGTCATATAGGGCTGGGGAAAAAAAGCAACTCAAGTCATAGAACTGCAATTTCTACATCAGGAAATGAGGAGTCTTATCTGTATATTATTTTCCCAAGGCCCACCAGCAAAAGAAAGAAAAGTCTCAGTAATAAGGCATATAGTTTCATTTTGATTTTTTTTTAAACCAAACTCAATGAGTGCTTTAAAGAGTCAATGATCCATCGTACTGATTTTATATTCACTCTCCACCTACAAATCCATGAGGCAATAACGATATAAAGGCTATCAGCAAGAAGGATGCTGTGAGGATGCTGTGGTTTCCTTTCCTTTTGCAATACGTAGAGAGGCCTGTGTAATCTAACACCACAGTCGATGGCCACCTACAGAGGACGTCACTTACCTGCTAGAGAGCCCTTCCTGCCGGCATTTACTCGAGTCATGATGTCATTGAGAGTCAGGTCCCCCGTCAAAAGGTCTGGGTGATCCTAGACGTGATATTCAGAGATTTGTTATGGAGGTCTGAAAGAGGAGCTCAAACTGTTGATTTTCTCAATTTACAGATAAAACTAGATGTTACGTGTACTTGAGGAAATTGTGTTGAATTTAAAACGTACAGAGATAAAAACTATTGCTCTTCATAATGGGGCAGGGGAGAACTGAGTTCCAATCCTTCATGTGTGGCATTTAGTTTATAAAGCTCTTTTGCGTTCCTTATCTTATATGCTCTTCAAACAGTCTTGCTAAGTGGTATTTTACAAAGACTGAAAACGGGATTCAGAGAAGTTAAGGGATTTGCCCGACATCACAGTAAGTGGAAAAGAGAGAGACAGAACTCGGTTCTAACCCCAACATGAGACTCTTCCCATCTCATCACTCTGCCTTGATGAACTGACTTTCCTTCCTCCACCATGATCTCTGGCTCAGCGTTACCTCCATTTGGTGGAGCAAAGGAATAGCAACGTAAAACGTGGGAAAAGCACAGGCTCTGACACTTGGCTCTGACACTTACTGGCCGTCAGGCGTCAGACAAGCTCCCTGGCCTCTCCAAGCCCTGCTAAACGGACAAAAGGATTCACACAGCAGTGTCGTCCTAAAGACTGGATCAGACACGGCGGTAAGCGTGCCTTATAAAGTCAAAGCATCTATCTTCTCCACATATCTTTAGTGTTACTGGGCCTCCCATGCTGCTCCTGTCCCCTAACAAGGATAAGAAAGGGGACTAATAACGTAGTGACTCCCTGTATCATCCCAGGATAGCTGACCCGGGGAATTAGACTGAAAACCTACTGACCACCCCCTCCAATCTTACTGGTTGGTGTTTCCGCTTCTCATGGTGCTTCTTTAGCATTATCTTCAGGTCACTGTCCCCCAGTTCTATTTTATCTGAGAGAAAAGGAACCAAACCACATGGACAGTCATTCATTTCCACAATGCTCAAATTCACATCTTTCTGGTCACTTGTAATATTTGAAAGTAAGTTATTTTCCGAGTTTCCCTTCTGACCTGTGTACTACAAGTACCAACAATCTTCGAACAGTCACAGGCTCAACTCTGCAGCTTTTCTGTACACTCGTCAATAACAATGACCTCGGTATTCAGCTGCTCCTAAAACACCTAGAAGTTTCTTAACATTCTTCTTTGACTCCTATCCCAACTAAAAATAGTCTCTAATTTCACAGACATGCCAAGAAACTGCTGTGCCTCTGGTTACCCCTTTTGTTCTATTATTAAATTATCCCTTAGTATTATCTTGGGGGTTTTTTTTGGTTGTTTTTGTTTGTTTTGGGGCTGCACTGGGCAGCATGTGGGATCTTAGTTCCCCAACCAGGGACCGAACCCGAGCCCCCTGCAGTGGAAGCATGGAGTCTTAACCACTGGGCCGCCAGGGAAGTCCTGATACTGTTATTTTAAGACTCTGCTTTCTTGAGGCCAAAATGCCGGCTGATAAGCTCCTAAGAGAAAATTTCAAAACAAAGTACAGAAGGCCAGCTGGCCTACCTACCTGCGAAGAAGTGGAGCTACACGAAAGCTTCCCCAGGTCTCCTCATTCTAAGGAACACCGCTCTGCTTTCCTGGCAGGCAGAACCCAGTCTCCCACCCCGAGGCAGTCCTCAGATCCACGCCGAGCCCCACTCACCTGCAGTCTTCATGTCCGTGGTGGAGAGCGTGGGCACCACCCTGAGGGGCACTGCAGGGCTAGGAGAGTGTGCTGGAGAGCTCGGGAGCCATGAGCTGAGATCTGCAAAAGAAAAGTTTTCTTGTAAATCCAACCTGCCTGTGGACTCCAGCAGGGCAAACACGGTAAGTGGCTCTTTGGGCTCAAGAAGGCTAAGCCAACAAGAGGGAGGCCAGGCTCCACCACTGCTTCCTGACCCTTCCCCAGACGGACTGCAGCACTTGAGTCAGTGCAACGGCTCTTCCAGGAGGAGAGACTTCAACTGTGGCGGGTCACCTGCAGAGGTCACAGTCACTATTACTCTCCTGTGGGGAGAGTGGTTCTCTCGAGCAGCCGACTGGACCAGAGCACCTGCTGGGAGGGCCCCGCGTGTGCCTGAACGCCAAGGGCGGTGAGGTGTGCAGTCACAGCCACCCAACGGCTCTGAGCGTCACCACGTGCCCAGACAAACCACAGGGATGGCTTCCTCGCGGGGAAATGGCTACCATGGCCTCCAACCAGAGAAGCAGCTGCAGGTGCGGACCGATGAGATACAGGTGGTGCGGGCACGGAGGACACATACCCTCCTCGTCCGATGACAGGGCCGAGTCCCCACACTCCTCCTTCACTTCCCGCAAGACCTTCAGGTAGCGCTGCTGGGTGCGCCACTCCCGCTCCTCGGGGGTGCAGGACGGTGAGGGGCGCTTCTGCCGGGAGGGGAGGGCAGGACCACTCCGCCGGGCCATCTCCAGGAGGTCCTGGGAGAGATCAGATGGGATGGGGGCACGGCCTCAGCCACAGCTTGTCCTGACACGCTCCCCGAGCCTACGCTTTCTTCTCTTCTTTGTTAGCAAGCTCAGTTCCCTCCTTCAAAATAAAAGGGGCCTGTGCTGATTATGACGGAAAATCCCCAATCTGAGTGCTGCGCTGCTCCATCGAGAACGAATACTTACACCAGACCCCTAAGAATATCCATACCGAAGCTTAAAGAACCACTAAGAGCCAGAACCACTCTGCCCCAAGGCATCCCAAGGCTGGCCCAGACCCAGAGCCGCTGAGCCTGGCACCCATCAGGCATCCGAACATGAACTGGAGGGCAAGCTGCTTCTCCTGCACAACCCACCACGGACCTGAAAGCTACCTCTTTTTCTGGGTAAATACAGAAGCTACAATATTTCATCAATTTTAAGATGTATCCTTTTGTTCCTGTTCTAACGTATCTGAAATCAGGATGCATCTTAAAACGTATCATAAGAAGGAAGGATGCACTTGGTCGTGTCGGGGCTCGATGGGCAGCTTCCTTCCTCAGTGGTATCTTTTGTTCTTGCCCCTGATCCGCCCCTTTGGGTCACCAGGTGTGAGTCCCACGCAGCTCCCAGGGGCACTTACGCTCCGCGAGGCCAGGATCTGCTTCAGCAGCCGGTGGAAGTACTGCTGCTGGGAGCTGAGGTAGCGTTTGTACTGCGACCGGAAGCACAGCTGCCTATACTTGACCACCTCGGGGTTGAAGTGTCCGTCTGCAAAGAACAGGCACAGCCATGCACATCTGTCAGCCACCCATCAGCGAGGGCTGGAGAGGCGGCCAGCTCTGCACCGATGGGAGGACAGTGTGGGGAAAGGGGAGCCTACGGTCCAGGAGGAGAGACAGAAAGCACATAAGCCAGTACTCGACTCTCTGACGTGCCGCCAGGAAACCAACCTAAAACAACCGAAGAGAGCAAGAAGAGAGACATGAGGAAAAGAGCCCCTAAGGAGGCGACATAAAATGAGGCCCAATCAAAGCACCTGTGGGAAAACGTCAACAACTGATAAACATAGGTAAGTTTTATGGATGTGCATCATACGTATTGGTTATCAACTTTTCTATATGTTTAAAAAATTTATCGGGAGGAAAATTAAGTAAGTAGGAATTTTTAAAATAAAAATAAGGAAAAGGCAGAAGAAACAGCATGCGCTAAGGCAGGCCCTGAAGCAAGGAAGAACGTGCCCACTCCAACCCCTGAAGAGATGTTGGTGTGAGGAAAGCAGAGGGGCTTAGCTGAGGAGGGGCTGAGATGACCTGTGAAACTGGGCAGACGCCACACCACACAGAAACCACAGCACAGTCTGGACTTTATCCTGAGTGCAGTGGAAATCAGCTGAAGGGTTTAAAGCAGGAGAATAACAAGGCCGAGAGCAAAAGAGAAAGAAGAAAACCACTTCAGTGATCTAGGAGAGGAACGACAGTGGCCTGGTCGGACCTCTCCCTCCATACCCAGGGTAGAGCCAAGGCGCCAGGAGGCCTGCAGGGCCCTTCCTTGTGGGTCCCACGTATCGCGGCCTCATCCTCCACCAGCCTCCCTTTTGCTCACTCCGCCGCAGCCCACGCTGTTTCCTGAAGTACCGTACTTTTCGCAAAGCCTTTGTCCTTCAGGTCCCCTCTGCCTTTTCGCAGAGGCTTTGTCCTTCAGGTCCCCTCTGCCTGCAAGGCTTCCTACTAACACCCAGTACTTCACGGCTTGCTCGTCGCGCCTTCACTGAGTCTCTGTCCAAACGCACCTCCACAGAGAAGCCCTGCCCAACTACCACCTCTGAACCAGATCCTTCCCGTCACTTCCAGTCCCATTACCCTTCCTCACTCTTTACAGTGCGTGATACCAACAAACGCTTGTCTATTACCTTGTTTTCCCCTATTAGAATGTAAGGTCATGACTGTATCTCCAGAACCTTGAAGAATAGCTGGAACATATTAGCTGATCAGTGGGCAGTGGTTATGTGAATGGCAGTAGAAAGATTTCAGATATATTTCGAGGGAGAAAGATTAGACCTGCTGTTAGTTTGGATGCTGGGGCAGGAAGGCGAGCATGGTACCTAGATCACTGGACACAAGCAACTCGTACCACTGCGGGAGCTGCGATGACAGAGGTCCGTTTTGGAATATTAGATTTGAGCAGGTTGCTACAAAGTGAACTAAGGGGAAAGATGGAAAAGCTAACCTCAGAAGGCTAAAATGAGGCATTGAAGTACATGGTGTTTCCTTTTTTTTTTTTTTTTTTAATTCCAACCACTTTAATGATTCCGAGGTAACGAGCAACAGCAAACACTTAGAACGGGACCTGACAAGGAACTGTCACCATATAAGGAGGGCCTTGCATATATTAACTCACTTCATCTTCACAACCCCCCCACAAAGAAGGTACTACTGCATCCTCATTTTACTGAAGAGCCTGAAGCATGGAGAAACTAAATAACTTGCGCAAGGTTACACAGCTAATAAAAGGGGAAATCAGGTCTGAACCCGGGCATTCGAGCTCCAGAGCCGCTCCTAGCCACCGCATTACGCTGCCTGTTGCAGGGAAATAAGGAATCTGACCTTCAAGAAAAGAGGCAAGAGTTCAATGCTACTGACACTGATATATAGAAATTGGATGAAAATTCTACTTCTTTGCCTCTGCACTTCTCCAAAGTTACCCTCCTTCAGTCTTTAGTTCCCCCCACCAAGATAGCCAAATGCTCTATTAAAATAATATTTTGAGGGCTTCCCTGGTGGTGCAGTGGTTGAGGTCCACCTGCCGATGCAGGGGACACGGGTTCGTGCCCCGGTCCGGGGGGATCCCACGTGCCGCGGAGCGGCTGGGCCCATGAGCCATGGCCGCTGTGCCTGCGCGTCCGGAGCCTGTGCTCTGCAGTGGGAGAGGCCACAGCAGTGAGAGGCCCATGAACCACACACACAAAAAAACATTTCGAGGGACTTCCTGGTGGCGCAGTGGTTAAGAATCTGCCTGCCAGTGCAGGGGACATGGGTTCAAGCCCTGGTCCGGGAAGATCCAACATGCCACGGAGCAGCTAAACCTGTGCACCACGCTACTGAGCCTGTGCACTAGAGCCCATGAGCCACAACTACTGAGCCCTTGTGCCACAACTACTGAAGCCCATGTGCCTAGAGCCCATGCTCTGCAACAAGAGAAGCCACCACAATGAGAAGCCCATGCACCGCAACGAACAGTAGCTCCCGTTTGCTGCAACTAGAGAAAGCCCGTGTGCAGCAATGAAGACCCAATGCAGCCAAAAATAAATTTATTTAAAAAAAAATAAATAACATTTTGAGTACATCAACTTAAAGAAAATATATTATTAAAATTAAACTGCTTTTACTATTCTTAATGTGGGTACTGGAAATTTTTTTTTTTTTTTTTTTTTTTTTTTTTTTTTTTTTTTTTTTTTTTTTTTTTTTTTTTTTTTTGCGGGTACGCGGGCCTCTCACTGCTATGGCCTCTCCCGTTGCGGAGCACAGGCTCCGGATGTGCAGGCTCAGCAGCCATGGCTCATGGGCCCAGCCGCTCCGCGGCACATGGGATCCTCCCCGACCGGGCACGAACCCGCGTGCCCTGCATCGACAGGCGGACTCTCAACCACTGCGCCACCAGGGAAGCCCCGGTACTGGAAATTTTTTAATTGAACGTGTGGCTCACGTAAGATTTCTATTGGCGGCACTGGGCCAGAGAGCAGCGGCAAGAGAGACTGCAGCACCAAGAGAAGTCGGTAAACCGGGGGCAACAGAGCCTGGTAGGCTGTGAAGTTTATTCCAAGTGAAGGCAATTGGTAAACACTCTGAAAAGCAAAGTTTTGAGATGCTCACGCTGGTGGCTGTGTGGAGATGGCGGCTAGAGCAGCCCCGGCAAGAGCCCCTAGAGAAGAGCTGGTGGGTGAGAGCAGGCAGGCGGGGAGGGAGAGGGGGCCTAATGGCAGGAGCAGAGGCAGGAATAGCGAGCGGATGAGGGCTCAGCAGAGAGAGGGGTGCGGGGAGGGCGTCTGAGGCACAGGAGGAAGCCAGGACAGGGAGGGCCACAGCTGCAAAGGGGGCGAGTCGCATGATGGAGGTCAAGGCATCAAATGCTACAAACAGGCTAAGGAGAGAACAGAAAAGCCATATGCTGGTTTGCAAATTACACATTCACTGAAAAGAAATGGAGCAGAGGAAGATGCAAGCACTGAAACAACTAGCAAAACAGGAATACGGACCACACATTAGATAACAATATGTCACTGTTAAATTTTATACTGAAATACAGAATTTAAGTACAGAATTTAAATTAAATACAGTATTTTCTATATTTCTGAATTTGATCATTTCTGGTTACTTAAGAGAATGTTTTTGTTCTTCAAAGATGAATGCTGAAAAATTAGGAGTCTTAGGTCTGCAATACTCTCACGTGGTTCAGCCAAAATAAAAATAGTGGTAATAAGTACAATATTGAGAAGAAAAAAAATGTGGCAAAATATTCATAGTTGGTGAACCTGGTAAGGAGTATGCGGGTGTCAATTATAAATTCTTGTAACTTTTCTGTAGGTTTGAAATTTAAAATTTAGAAAGTCGAAGGTGTTGGCAGGCATAGGGAACAGCCACCAGCGGACGGCGGCTAGGGATGCCTTTCAGGAAGTTTGGAGAAAAGGGAAAATGACAGAGGACAACGAAGGGGACAGATGGTTAAGGACTTTTTTAGTGTGAGACCCTTGACCACATCTACAGGCTGAAAAAGGAGTGGAGTAAGTACACATGGTAGAATGGTTAACTGAGAAACGAGGTCCCAGAGGACATAAAACATGAGAGGATCAAGAGCAGAGGTTAACCTTAAACAGACGGAAAATATCCTTCCTCCGAGACAAGTAAAAGTAGGTCAGGAGGGAAACGACTACAGTGTGCTGTGGGGAGGCTGGAAGTGGGAAGCTGGAACTCAGGACGACAACTCTTTCCTGTAGGAAAAAAGTCAAGGGAGCTCAACAAGCACTTGGAACTTATTTATGGAAAAGGTGAGTTTTTAAAACAACCAGAAAAGATAAGCAAAAATAAAAGCACCCCGAAAGCAACGCCAGCTCAGTCAAGACGCATGACCACAATAACCGTGGTAACGCAACTGTCCTCATCACCGCAGGACCTGAAACATGACACCGGACATCGCAGAACTCCTGCCTTGCATTTCTCGTTTGCATCCTTACCTGACCATCACATTGCTTTGGAAGGAAACGTGCCAGCGTTACAGATACGGCCCTGATACGGCCTCTACTACCAACCAGGCCTACCAGCTTATCCCACCTGAGACCCTGGCTTCAGTGACATAAAACACTGGCCAACCAGAAGGGAAATCCTCCTTAATGATCCACCAAAGGAGGGAATGCTCATTTTAAACCTTAAGATAATGTGGGTTGAAATGATAAGCTTATTCCCTCCAGTCTTTTTGCAGCTGTCAAGCTGTCCAGTTTCACAAACTCAAGATGGGCTATCTTTCAGGGCCTCCAGCCAAAGCAAAGTCACCCCAGAAAGTGGGAAGGGAAGAAGCGTCCTCTGCTCCTCTCCACTGGACAGAGAGCAAACTGTGACTGAAGAGTGGCCCCAAACCATTCTGGAATCCCCAGTGTAATGACCGGTTCAGGCAAGGGTCAGTGGATGCTAAAACCGCTGGGTAAAACAAATGCTCTCGGAAAATTAGATTATCACATGGTCCCTAAATATCACCCTACAGATTGCTTCTTAATTATAGGGGGAAAAAGGTGCCCTTACAGTCAGTAGCTCTGGCAGATACCACAGAGCCAAGTGATCAAAAGCCTCCCTACCAATAACGCAAGAATGACATCACATATCCTGAGTGGAGGGATGAGAAAGAAATGACATTTCCCATCTCCTTTCTTGGCAAAATGTTTAACCCAAAACTAATTATGAGGAAGCAAGACGACAACTCCCCAGAAAGCAAGACATTTTACAATTCAAGTGTCCTGGGCTCTTCACAAGTGTATTTTGAAAGACAAGGAAAAAAAGGCAGAGGGCCCTAGATTCAGGGAGCTGAGAGACAGAAGATCCAAACACAACACATGAATCTTGAGTGGATCCTGGATTTAAAAGCCAACTGAGTGGTGCTGGGAAAACTAGACAGCTACATGTAAAAGTATAAAATTAGAACACTCCCTAACACCATACACAAAAATAAACTCAAAATGGATTAAAGACCTAAATGTAAGGCCAGACACTATCAAACTCTCAGAGGAAAAAAAAACATAGGCAGAACACTCTATGACATAAATCACAGCAAGATCCTTTCTGACCCACCTCCTAGAGAAATGGAAATAAAAACAAAAATAAACAAACGGGACCTAATGAAACTTCAAAGCTTTTGCACAGCAAATGAAACCATAAACAAGACCAAAAGACAACCCTCAGAATGGGAGAAAATATTTGCAAATGAAGCAACTGACAAAGGATTAATCTCCAAAATTTACAAGCAGCTCATGCAGCTCAATATCAAAAAAACAAACAACCCAATCCAAAAATGGGCAGAAGACCTAAATAGACATTTCTCCAAAGAAGATATACAGACTGCCAACAAACACATGAAAGAATGCTCAACATCATTAATCATTAGAGAAATGCACATCAAAACTACAGTGAGATATCATCTCACACCGGTCAGAATGGCCATCATCAAAAAATCTAGAAACAATGAATGCTGGAGAGGGTGTGGAGAAAAGGGAACACTCTTGCACTGCTGGTGGGAATGTAAATTGATACAGCCACTATGGAGAACAGTACGGAGGTTCCTTAAAAAACTAAAAATAGAACTACCATACGACCCAGCAATCCCACTCCTGGGCATATACCCTGAGAAAACCATAATTCAAAGAGTCATGTACCAAAATGTTCACTGCAGCTCTATTTACAATAGCCAGGACATGGAAGCAACCTAAGTGTCCATCAACAGATGAATGGATAAAGAAGATGTGGCACATATATACAATGGAATATTACTCGCCATAAAAAGAAACGAAATTGAGTTATTTGTAGTGAGGTGGATGGACCTAGAGTCTGTCATACAGAGTGAAGAAAGTCAGAAAGAGAAAAACAAATACAGTATGCTAACACATATACATGGAATCTAAGGGGAAAAAAAAGGTCATGAAGAACCTAGGGGTAAGATGGGAATAAAGACACAGACCTACTAGAGAATGGACTTCAGGATACGGGGAGGGGGAAGGGTAAGCTGTGACAAAGTGAGAGAGTGGCATGGACGTATATACACTACCAAACGTAAAACAGACAGCCAGTGGGAAGCAGCCGCATAGCACAGGGAGATCAGCTCGGTGCTTTGTGACCACCTAGAGGGGTGGGATAGGGAGGGTGGGAGGGAGGGAGACGCAAGAGGGAAGAGATATGGGAACATATGTATATGTATAAATGATTCACTTTGTTATAAAGCAGAAACTAACACAGCATTGTAAAGCAATTATACTCCAATAAAGATGTTAAAAATAAATAAATAAATAAAAGCCAATCTGACATTGGGAACAACTGAGAAAATCTGAATACGGGATATTCTAGGCTATTACTTGTTCAATGTAAAGTTCCTTGGGGGTGAATTTAAGACTGTGATTATGTGGAAGGATGTCTTTGCTAAGAGGTACATAAACGCTGAGGTGCTTGGTGGTAAAGTGTCAGGTTTTCTGCAGAAAAAATATGTGTATGTGCATCACACACACATACATCCATGTGATAAACCAAATGGTAAACTGTTTTTAATAATTTTTGAAGACCAGTCATAATGGGTGCCTCTAAGATGCTAATAATGTTTTACTTCTTGATCTGGGTGGTGGTTACACAGCTGAGTTCATATAACACATCAATGAGCAATATAATTACGATATATGTTTCCTATGTAAGTTAAAAATATTTAAAAAAAAAAAAAAAAGAATGGCCTAGGCAGCAAAGTGTTGCATGAAAGCACCTGGAGTCAGTGTCTATACATAAAAATAAAATAAAACGAAGAAAGGAGTACGCACAGAAGTGGGTGTGTTCCCACCTTCCAGTCCTCTCAAAACAAGAATGCTGAGCTACACACCTCGGAAAAGCTTCTGGGCGATGTGCAGAGGGTTTCCGAAGCGGAAGTTCTCCCCACGGAACAGGGCGAGGATGAGCTCATCCTGCTGCTCAGTACTGTCCTCAGGAAAGCGGGGCAGAAACTGCTGGAGGTGCTCGCGCTGCGAGGCGCTCAGTACTTCCTGCCACGTTGAGAAGCTGACTACGTCAAAGAAGATCTCGGGCTGGGAGAATCAGGAAAAGCAGGAGGAAAGTGAGCAAGAAAAAAAATGAAGTTTTTTGTGTATAAGTGGATAACACATGCATAACATAAAATCTACCATTTTGTCCATTTTTGTGTATGGCTCAGTGGCATTAAGTACAATCACAAAGTTGTGCAAAAATCACCGTCATCCAAGTTTTTACGTTTTTTAAACAAACGAAAATTCCACTGATCTTTACTCAATTCTCAAAACTTGAGAGGTCAGGGCCTCCGTGGTGGCGCAGTGCTGAGGAATCCGCCTGCCAATGCAGGGGACACGGGTTCGAGCCCTGGCCCGGGAAGATCCCACATGCCGTGGAGCAGCTAAGCCTGTGCGCCACAACTACTGAGCCCACGTGCCTAGAGCCCGTGCTCCACAACAAGAGAAGCCACCGCAATGAGAAGCCCGCACTCCATAAGGAAGAGCAGCCCCCGCTCGCTACAGCTAGAGAAAGCCCACGCACAGCAACAAACACCCAACACAGCCAAAAATAAAATAAACAAATAAATAAACTTAAAAAAAAACTTGAGAGATCTGTTGGGAATTCCCTGATGGTCCAGTGGTTACGACTTCACTGCCGGGGCTCAAATTCAATCCCTGGTCGGGGAACTAGGATCCCATGTGCTACAAGACAACTAAGCCCACGTGCTGCAACTACTGAGCCTGCCCATTCTAGAGCCTGCGCACCAGAACAGAAGAGCCTGCATGCTGAAACGAAGGTCTTGCGTGCCACCACTAAGACCCGATGCAGCCAAATAAATAAATATTTTAAAAAATAAATAAATGAAATAAAAAAAAGAGTTCAGGCAACGTCTGGCTAGCTCAACAACAGGGAGGGAAAGGGAAGCAGCAGAGAAAGGAGCAAAGGACCTATAAGCATGTCAAGTACTTGTGACCTTATCCTAAGGACAATGGGAGCCACCGAAGGGTTTAAGCAGGAGAGAACCCAGAAACCAGCCACCTGCCAGGCGTCTCAGCAAGCAGGCACCAAAGCTCCTCTGGCTCCCTGGCCAAGATCTCCCCCTGCAAACCTGTTTCTGCATACCACTTGATTCCTGGCAGCTCAGTGTCTGGGATAAAGTAGGTACTTCAATAAAACAAGTGTTTGCTGGCTGAATGAATGACATGAAGAGGTTTACTTGAAAGAGCATGCAAAGAAAACATGAATGGGAAAGATAATACACCAAGTTCAGTACCTGTTACTTCGGGTAGGAGAGGGAATAATGGCAAAACAGTGGCTTTAATTTTATCTACAATTTTTGACACATTATGAAAGAAAAATCTGAACCAAATATAACTAAATGAAATTATCTCCCCAAACTGAATGATGCACAGATGTTCACCATATGATACTCTACGCCTGTCCATATGTTTGAACTATGGCAAAATAAACAAGATGATAAACACGTTTCAGCATACCTGGTGCCTTGCACATAATAAGCACTAAATAAATGCCACCATAATAATCATGATGACTGCCTGTGAAAAGTGGTCAAAAGCACAATATTAATGCTATCCCAGGGAAGGTACTATTAACTGACTAGCAAGTTGGTTACCTTATGGACAGAGATAATATGTTTGTGCTTTGTTTCATGATTCACAACATGGGTAAACATTCTAATGTAAAGGTATACACAATTCTGCCCTTAAATATAAAACTTTTGCTAACTGCTGAAAATTATCTTGTCAAAATATGGCATATGTCATTATCGAGTTACATGTTATTAAACACGCAGAATGTAGCTTATACTTTCTTCCTTAATCATACTATTAAACAGACTTAAACGTAAAAAAAAGATCACTCTGGTTGCAATGTAGAAAATCACAAAGAAGGGAGCACAAAAGATTGAAAACTTGCAGAGCGTGGAAAAGGCTGAGAGGAACTGCTAGAAAGAAAAAGATGGTGCCGCTGTCACTACTCACATCCTCCAGAAGGTCCTCGGGCAGACTAACCCTAGTGCCCCCCAGGAGGCAGTCCTCCATGATCCGCGTGCCGTGGCCAACTCCACACGGGCCCAGCTCCAAGGGATCCGTCAGCATATGGTCCAAGGAATCCATTGCTTATGTTCCACGGGTAGCCTAGACAAATAAATGCAGTCAGACCTCGAGACAGAAAGGCAGAAGTCCCAGGGATCTGTTGATACTAACGCTCTTTCACAAAATATTCTGGCCCAGAACATATTCAATCTCAGATCTATTCTACCTTATCCATACACCCTAACGACAGCTAAAGAGCTCTTCTCCCTCCCTTCCACCACTGCACCCTCATCTGAATTTCAGATCTTAGCCAGTAGGTCTCTCGTTACTCAGAATACTTCTACAGTGACTCCCCAATCTATAGAATTTCTTATACCTTCATTTTACACAGGAGCACAACGAGACTCAAAGATTAAATAACTAGATCACGGTCCATAATTTAGACTTCCTAGGCCAATAATCTCTCACTCTAATATAATTTTTTTTTTTTAGCAAGTAATTCTTTGTTGTTCCTTCACAAAAGAAATTTCACTCAAAATCCACAGAGTAGTAAAATTCAGACAGTAACACTAAGTTATTTAATGAGGGCCTGTTAAGTGCCAGGCCTTTCATACACCTGATTTAATTCTTATAAATGTGCAAGATAGGGTTATGACATCTTTTCCACAGATACCAAAACCTAGGATCAAAATAGATAAGCAACTTGCCCAACCCCAGAGGTAGGACTGAAACTCAAGTCGGCATGACTGGCAAACCCATGTTCTTAACACTACATACAATACCTCCTGGATAAACCCTCAGTTTAAATCAGGAAAAGCAAGCATCTTAATATGACTTTATCAGTCCGCATAAACCCTGGAGGATCCAAGCACCTGACCAGGACAGCCAGCAAAGTCAGCGGCGAACCCACTTTAGTTGGTCCAGCTGATACTTATAACCATGTAGATGAAATGCTATTTTTCTCCTTCCTGTAACAACTAAACATTGCTGGCTACCTTTAGAAAAGTACATAGGAAAACTTTTTCAGAGAGCATCTCATAAGGCTGATGGCTGGAATCAGGTGCACAGCTGAAGCCACAGTTAACAGGGCCACAGGGAGGCTGAACTCACCCACTCCATAAACATTTGCTAAAACCATTCTTTCTCTCTGATTTCTACCAAATAGAAAGGAGGAAAAAAAAAAAAAACACACATTTAACAGTTAAACACCAAACTCCTAGCCTCATCTCAGTGACTTTGGGCAAATCTTACCTCACGGGCTGTCAATTTCCTTATCTATATAAGATGAAGGAGAGCTGGGCGCGGTCCTCTCTACCGTTATTTCCAATCCTGCAATGAATAACCTCCAGGTGGATGCATTTATATAACTTCACGTAGTCACGTAATGACTTCTCATCCCGAAACTGTCAAATGATAAAGAGCAGACTTGTAATACTACTACTAAAATAAGCACGTTTGCACTAATTATTTCAAGTGATCTGGAAGAGATGTCAGATCTACGTAAAGGTACAGTGGAAAGATTAGTGTTCAAAGCAGCTGCGTTGTCGCCAAGCAACTGTGTCCCATCACCCTTCAGCACATGATGAACTACTGCATCCTGAAACACCCCTGGTGCCTAAATAACTGACGGCAGGTAAGAAAGCACATGGCATTTGCATTTAACAAAACTTTTAAAAAGAAAAAAAGTGTAGATGCAACCTGATGCTCAGAATAAAGTCCTCTTTATAGCCAGAAGTGGCACAGAAGAGGGTAACAGCTGCAAAGCCAGTGTTTTACCTGACTCTCAGGAGGATCACCTGTTTCACAACTTGCTCACAAGTTTCTTCAATTAGCTTCACTTCAATTCACTTCAATTAGTGAACGTGTAGCTAAATTTAAGCTATTCGAGTGGCAACCTGTGCCCTGCTACTATTCTGAAGAGGATCTCAAAACACAAAAAGCAGGCAGCTTCCAAAGGGCTGAAAACCGGAAGCCAAGGACTTCTAAGTCTTGCAGCGTCCTGGACCAAAGAGGTCCATCTTTACTAGACCGGGAAGGCCTCTCCCAACGGCCTTTCCTCTGCACCTGGGATAACCTTCCCTCCTGGACCCTCCCCAACTCAGAAGCCAAACCCCAGACTCCTTCCGGAGCAACCGCCGGCTCCAAACTGCAAACCCCTCCCTAGCCGGCCTCTCACAAGCCCGAGGCCCGGGTCCCGCCCCGCTAAACCGCACCTCCGCGCCCACAGCCCCTCCCCCAACACCGTGCCTAACTCTAACCCCCACCCACCCGGGCCACCCGCCTCCCGACACGCCCGCTCCCCTGTCCCGTGCCCACAGAAGCAGCGACCCTCGGAGACCCAGACTCTCGCTCGCTCCTTCCCTCCGCTCCCCGGCAACACTTTAACCCTTTCACCGCCCCAGCCCGGCCTTACCTGCGCCGCCGGCGCTGGTCTCCGAACCCGCTGCTCTCCTCGGCCCGCGGGTTCCCTGACGCGCTCGCTCCCGCAAGGCGTGTCGGTGCGTGCACGCTCCGGGCTCGGGCGGCGGAAGGGGCGGGGATTGAGGGGCGGGGCCTGAGCTGCATGGGGCGGGGTCTGGAAGTGCCGGGGGCGGAGAGGGGCAGGGCGGGGCGGGGCTCGCGGGGCCTAACCTAGAGAGGCGTGAGCCCGCCGAGCTGGGCCTTGGGTTGCAGTTTGTAGGCGTCTCGTTGGTCTCACCTGGCGTAGAAGCTTCCGGAGGGTGGTGTCGCTAGTCACCTGGCCGCGAATTGAGTCTCCGGAGCCCATGAGTGAGTGAATGCCGTTTTATTAGCTAACGTTTGCATATCTCATAGCCTGCTCCAGGCACTAGGCTGCGCACTCTCTATCATTGTCTTTGTACCAAAGCCGTGTGCACTATTAGTTCCCATTTTGAGATTTCTCGAGTTTCGTTGAGGAGAATGCGAACCACAGCCTGTGCCCCGCAACCCACCCGGGCGTGGCCCCACTTCTCTCTCCCGTCTCTCTCCGGTCCCTGGACCCTCGACGTCCAGAAAGACAGTACACACATCGAAGAAACACATTTTCTTATTAATCTTCCTCTCGTTAAGAATCTAGGCCGCTTTCTACTTATAAACTAGGTTTTACTTAGAACCGCTTCAAACTTCTTTCACAGCTACTTCCAACCTGTAGTGCAGAGAGCATCCTGAGTTCTCTCCACTAAATGGAAACATGTCAGTCAAGCTGGTGTTCCTCCCTGGTTGGCAAATAGTGGTTTCCAAATAAAGCCAATCGCTCTTCCCGAGCTGGCTGAGTGCCTGCCCCTAGTTCCTGTTAGATTGTTGGGAGGGGTCTCGAATTAGAAACCACCAAGTAAAAGGGGAGGGGAACATCATTCCATATTACCATCTATAAATTCCCTGACCTTATGTCTCTGACCACACCAGAGTGAACCAAAGAGTCAAAACAATGTAAGTTGTATTATTAAAAAAAAAAAAAAGTAATGATCTCAGAAGCTCTTGTAACTTGTACACATACAAACAAGAAAGATGTTTATTAAAAAAAAATATTTATTAATTTTTACACCTGCTGAGTAGCACAAGACTATTAACACTATAACTCACTGAATGTACAGTAAATGTTCACATTTAAATAACAGGATAGGGTCAACATTTTCAACCTGTGGGTCAGCTTCAGCATCTCATGAAGTGCTTTTTAGACCTACATTATCTTAAGAGTTTTTTGAAAGGCTAATTCCAAGTCAGAAAACAATTCCAGAATATCAAAACAATAGGTTTCTCCGGAATAACAGGAATTTTACAGGATGAAATATCTGTTTATGTGGGCACAAATGAAACAGTAAAAATGTAAAATCTCTATGTAACCTACTCCAAAATGCTCACACTGCACTGATCCAAGTCTACAGTGCCAGTGTGTCTTAGGCGAGGCCACAGTATAAACATTGGCTACAGACATTTTTTCCAAATTGGGTCTTCAGATGGCTTATAATCTGCCATCTCTTCAAATCCAAGTCCTTTTGAAAAGCCATTACCTTAGAATAAATATACAGAATACCTGATCTTAAAGCAATGTTGTTTGGCTTGACTGCCACACCTGCATCTCTGGTTGATAATATACAAATTAGTTTTAGAGTCGTATTCCACATAAGGACAAAAAAACAAAAGGGAAAAAAAAGAACTTAGATGGGAAAGAAACAGAGGTCTTCCGCAATCCTTTTTCTCTTCTGTGTATTTTAAAACTTGAAATAACTGGCATAAAATGAACATTCCATTCAGTGATAGTTTTCCATTTTAATCAGTAAGTTATTCCTGAGGGGAGGGAGGAGTACCTTGCTGGTTCAAATTTAAAAGGAACCAACAGGACCAAATTTAAGTTATAAAAACTAAACTGGACCTTTGGGAAAGTCTAATATGCTTTACCTAGCAAGTCTCTCTAGACTGGACACTAGGATATTTATAATCATCGCATTGTAGGACTTTGGGACTCAAAAATCTCTATATTGTGACACAGAGTCAATATTTTCTATTGAAAACATCAGCATTACCTCTGTTACCAAAGATATAGAGTCCATTTTCATTTTCAACACAATTACCAAGTAACTCTCAAGTTCTCTTAGTGCCTAAATTGTCAGGGATAACTAAATGAATGAGGTCTCAAGAATAAAGTCTACATATTAGTAAAGTTACTTCACAGAATTGTTTACTTTTCAAAAAGGTATCTTTACCATAAAGAAGCTACTATATACTTCTTAATTTATAGAACCAGTTTTTACCCAGAAATGTCAATAAAATAAATTATTTAACTTCATTTGAAACTGAAGGTAGGTCTTTCTGTTCTGTAATGATAAATTCTACCATGCCATAATTATTCTAAAAATGTATTAGTATGTCACAAAAAGTTGTTAAAGTACATACTGATTTCTGCAGTGTTTCATGTGCACAACTGGAATGTACAGTAAAAAGAAGGGAAATGTTTTCCCCATTGAATTCATAGCTAATAAGACTCCCAAACAGGAACAATGATAAGAAAAGCTATCACTGAGGCAGTTTTTCTCCCTCTCCCAACTGACAATGTAATATTAAGACTGGATTCCTTCCAGATCCCTTATAATTACTCTAACGTATTATACGTGCTCCCCACATTTTTATTTTTCCCCTAGGTGTGAAGTTAGTCATCTTACCAAAAGGTCCAGATGGATTGCAATACATTTAAAGTGGAAAGTGTTAAGCAATAAGGAGGACCACCTTTCCATCCAACCTGAAAGAATGTTCATTTTAAGACAGCATTAGAAGTACTAAAATACACTGCATGCTGTGAGCGAGGGTTGCAGGTACACCTAGTACGAGCAAGGATTCACCCTTTACCAATGAGTGGTAAATGGATCCTGAAAGGCAGGACAAGGTCTCAGTGCTTTTTACGCTCTATATAGTTGTTTTAGTACCAATACTGTCGTCTCCAATACCTCCTTCTTCATACAAGTACAACCAGAGGATGGGAGGCCAACCTGTAACCTGGGAGTCTAAATTCTGTTGACACCAAGCATCCTTTTCTTGTACAGGGAGTCCACAGTTGTGGAGTAATAAAGTAAGATCGATCAGAACATGAGGTTCTGGCCCAGTCCACTGAGGGCCAGGGTCTGTGGAAAGCACTACCAATAGCCCAACAACGGTTTTCCAAAAGAGGCAAGTTTTTTAAAAATCAGCAATAAGAAAAATTTAGGTAACAGTTTTTCCTTCACACCATCACTGATGAAACCTTTGCTTCATCATTTTAATTTTCATATTCAGTGGGCTCCCTCTGTTAAGTTACCGAGAATGCAAACTCACAGGATGAAGCAATTGTGACCTAATACACGCCCATAAAATGCACCTTCACCTTTGGTGCCATGGCTTGGAATCAACAAGTCCAGTGGCCATGGACTTGGCACATCCTTTATCCACCTTTGGTACAAACACAATACACTGCTTAATATTTCCACAAAGGAAAAGTAAGGCTTATCTATGTGTTAAAAAACCAACTCAAGAGCAAGGCAAGGTTTCTCTGTCTTGAAATCTACTTTCCCCTGAAAGATCTCCATTCCTTGGCAGAAACTCCTAGGGTTTGAAGAGTCCATTTGGTAAAGATGACCTTGATAAAATAAGCCCCAGTGTATGTATAAGCATCAAAACCGTGATTTCCAAACTCTTGAGTGACAAATCTTAAAAAAGAGTTCTAAGTGTCAGAAGCTTCCAGATGTTCCAGACATATGAATAAGAAAAGACATGATGTGACTGTTTGATTCTGGCTCAATGATGGAAGTTAAGGTTTAGTGATGTGCACTTCGCTGCTCCCATTCCCGTTGGTGGTGGTTGTAATGATGTACTGGGTGGGCTGTTGGCTGGTGGTCTGGGGGTCCAAGTCACCATGTGCAGTTGGCTGAACCTGGACTCCACCAGTGAGAGCAGAAGCTTGCTTTTCCTCCAATTCTGATTGACTTTCTGATAGCACATAATGACCCTAGAGTGGGAAGAAAAAGATCTTTACAAATCTGAGGCCTAAAGTGGGGGGCAGAGTTATGGGGGCACGGTGGGGAGAAGGAATATGCAAAGAAATGTTACATGGGGAACCAAACTAGGCACCTATGGCAGATGCTTTACCTAATTCCTTTAGAGAAGTAGACTACAGAGGTAACTTAAGGGAGCACCTTGGTCATCGTACCAAATGATACAGTGAGGAACTTCAGGGACAGAAATTTGCATCATGATGGTAACCTACCTGGCAAAGGAAATGTGCTATGGTATTGTCCCTGAGAATTTAGAAATTCATAAAATAAGGTGACTATCTGTCAATTAATGTTTAAGATTAATACAAAATGGATCAAAGGAGAGAGATTTAAATTCTCCTTAAAGAGGCACAATGATGCCCAAGTCAAGATCAGTGGTTCCCGGACTTCCGAATTTCAAAGACCAGCAAAATTAAAGTAAGAATAAATGTTCCCGGGCTTCCCTGGTGGCGCAGTGGTTGAGAGTCCACCTGCCGATGCAGGGGACACGGGTTCGTGCCCCGGTCTGGGAAGATCCCACATGCCGCGGAGCGGCTGGGCCCGTGAGCCGTGGCCGCTGAGCCTGCGCGTCCGGAGCCTGTGCTCCTCAACGGGAGAGGCCACAGCAGTGAGAGGCCCGCGTACCGCAAAAAAAAAAAAAGAATAAATGTTCCCAAATTTTATTTTGCCAAGTAAAATCATTTTTTAAATGCTACTGTCAAATGAGAGACATTTTAACACTCAAAAGCATAGGAAGAACACAATCTTAGAATAAAAGTCTTTTGCACTGAATAAATTTAACTTTATGAAAACATACATTGTCTTAATTTTTCTTCATTTTCCCTCTGATCATGAAAAAAACATCTCCATAGACCTGCAGCTAACTCTGTCCCTACATCAACATTTTTAAAGAAAGAATGTGTCTGTAAGAGGGAGAATTGGTCAGCTACACAGGCTGAGAAAAAAAGAAGTCACAGAGGAAAACTAGGGCAGCATCCTTTCCAAGCACTGTCCAGAGAGAAAGCCACAGCCAAATACCCATTTGATTTATCGAGGGCTGTATGTTCTGAGTCCACACTCATCAAGCCACTCTTTGATCAGGATTTGGTTTCCTGTGTGGGTCCTTCTCCAGCAGGAGGGAGCTGGTTCTCAACCAAGGGTCCATGGACACCTGGGCAGTTCATAGGTAGGCTTCAGAGAATCTATAATCAAAACTGTACATCAAATTTGTATGTATACTGTGGCAGATGGAAGGGAACATCCTTGGCTATATAATCGGTTTCCCAAATGGGTTCCTGGCCAAAAAAAGGTAGAGTCAGTGAGTCCCCACAAAGAGCAAAAAATTTCACTGATCATGCCAATGAAACTATTCCATTTTATATTAGTTATTGTTTCCATTGACAATAGTGTTGCTCTGGATTTATACATCCCTCCTATGTCTAGTTAATGTGAATTCATGTTCTGAGAAATGGGTGAGCTCTCAGTGTGCTTTGAAAAATGATTCAGGTTTCTGAGGCCACTAGACTACCCTGCTACTCTTTGAGGCCTCTTGGGAAATAGTCTTCCCCTGGGAACATCTCAATATCCCTAGTCACTTAAGAGTATTTTTCTTAATTTACATACTCTGTCTTCCAGAGGCAGGCCAGAAGAAACCAGTGAAGATAAAAACAGAGGTAGCAGATATAATCAACATTGACTGGTTTCAACATTGAAACCAGTGAAGATAAAAACAGAGGTAGCAGATATAATCAACATTGAGGACCAACAGTCACAAAGGCTCATATGCTTTCTAAGAAGCACATTAAAAAGATGATTATCTACATGTATATATATGTATATAGATCTAGGAGGTTCCTTACAGTTATTAATTGAATAGATCTTTATTGAGCATTTGCTATAGCCCAGCCTCCTGTGCAACAGCACTGAAGACAAAGAGATAAAGACAAAGACCTAGGTTTCAAGGAATTAATTGCCTACTGGGAAAAGATAGTAAACCAATAATTAAAATAAACTGTGCTACCCCTATGTTCACAGCAGCACTATTCACAATAGCCAAGACATGGAAACAACCTAAATGTCCATAGACAGAGGAATGGATGGAGAAGGTGTGGTACATATATACAATGGAATACTACTCAGCCATAAAAAAAGAATGAAATAATGCCATTTGCAGCAACATGGATGCAACTAGAGATTATCATATTAAGTGAAGTAAGTCAGAAAGAAAAAGACAAATACCGTATGCTAACACATATATATGGAATTTAAGAAAAAACAAAAATGTCATGAAGAACCTAGGGGTTAGACAGGAATAAAGACACAGACCTACTGGAGAACAGACTTGAGGATATGGGGAGGGGGAAGGGTGAGCTGTGACAGGGCGAGAGAGAGGCATGGACATATATACACTAACAAACGTAAGGTAGATAGCTAGTGGGAAGCAACCGCATGGCACAGGGATATCGGCTCGGTGCTCTGTGACCGCCTGGAGGGGTGGGATAGGGAGGGTGGGAGGGTGGGAGACGCAAGAGGGAAGAGATTTGGGAACATATGTATATGTATAACTGATTCACTTTGTTATAAAGCAGAAACTAACACATCATTGTAAAGCAATTATACCCCAATAAAGATGTTAAAAAAATAAATAAAATTAAAGAAAATATGGCACAAACGAACCTATCTACAAAACAGAAACAGACTGACAGACGTAGAGAACAGACTTGTGGTTGCCAAGGGGGCTGGGGAGGAAGAGAGACAGATTGAGAGTTTGGGGTTAGCAGATGCAAACTATCACATTTAGAACGGAGAAACAACAAGGTTCTTCTGTATAGCACAGGGAACTATATCTAACCTCCTGGGATAAACCATAATGGAAAAGAATATTTTAAAAAATACAGAAGTTTTTAATGTAAAAAAGAATGTATATATACGTAAAATTGAGTCACTTTGCTGTATAGCTGAGATTGGCACACCATTGTATATCAACTACACTTCAAAGAAAAAAGTAAAAAAGAAATAAAATTTTTTAAAAAAACGGTGCTATAATATAGCACCACAAGAAATTATAGGAATACAGGGGAGTTGCCTCTAACTCAGACGGGAAGAGTTTGGGAGAAGATGGGGGAGGGCGAGGGTGGTGCAGCGTGGGGAACAGGAAAACCCTCCAAGCAGCACCGCTTACTGGAGTCACCGCCTTCACTTGGCCAGTGGTGACCGGAGTTGCCACGCCACTGTCTGTAATCACAAACTGACCCGGGGGGAGCGTCATCATCTGAATCTCCGATGCTGAAAAACAGGAAGGAACCATAGTTCAGTGGTCTCAGATTTTAATACAACTTGTAGAAACAAATACCTAACCAGTGACCATATTCCCTACTGAGTCACTTTCCATGGATTTGCTTACTCTGAGAGTCTTATGCTGATATGATTTCTTGATACAGCGAAAGCACCTCTGATTAAGAATTGATCACATGAGGCTAGTAGAGAGTTACCAAATGTCGGAAACAATCAATGCATCTCCTTCAAATGTGGCTTCTGAATATCCAGAAAGACAAATATATAAAAATTTTAAAACCTTGAGATAAGTTACAAAGATTCACCTGTTAGCTCAATATTTTTATCTTTTACAGTCACATTTGATTACTGGCACAATGTATCCACTATTGCCTAGCAATCACAGCTTAGTCTAACATGAATTTTACTTCACTACCGTGTTATTAAAGCTAATTAAAAACAGAGTTCACCCTAGCACCCAGTTGACAGCCTCTAAATCACATCCTCTACTCCAAGGAACCAGGACTTCTTGGGAAAATGGCTGATTCCAAACCTGGGTCAGAAATGTACAAGGTGAGCATGGAATCTGGTGTCATACCAGCGTGTAAGACTGCAGAGTCATGTGGGAAAGATACAGAAAGATGTTCCCACTAGCCAAAGATGGGATAACCTGAGCATCAACAAGGATAATGACTGCATGTGTTATTTATTTATTTATTTATTTATTTATTTATTTAATATTTGGCTGTTGGGTCTTAGTTGCTGTGCACGGGCTTTCGCTACTTGCTGCGAGCGGGGGCTACTCTTCGTTGTGGTGCACGGGCTTCTCATTGCAGTGGTTTCTCTTGTTGCAAAGCACAGACTCTAGACGCATGGGCTTCAGTAGTTGTGGCTCGCGGGCTCTCGAGCACAAGTTCAGTAGTTGTGGCACACAGGCTTAGCTGCTCCACGGTATGTGGGATCTTCCCAGACCAAGGCTCGAACCCCTGTCCCCTGCATTGGCAGGTGGATTCTTAACCACTGCACCACCACGGAAGCCCTGACTACAATGGTTTGAAACACATCCAGTGGGTTGAAATTCATAAGTACCCAGCGATACTAAAACACACATGCCCGGCACTGGTCACCTTGGATAATACTAGGAAACAGCTCATTATTTTGAAAACTGGTAAATAAAGGAGATGAGCCAAGTATTTAAAGCATCTATTCTGCCGTTCCTGTACAAATTGTACCTCAGAGTAACCTGATGGTTAAGGTAAAATTGTTTTTGTTATGGAAGTTTTCTAGCAATAAGTGTATAAAGAATGATAGAATATGACAACTTTGCAATCCCTACTGAAATAGTGGAGCAAATGAAAAAGACAGAAAAGCACTATGTGCCTCCCAATGGAACTACACACCAACAGCTATGGAGTGTTTTGGGGGAAAAAAACTGAACCTGAATCTGATCAAGCCTCTAGGTTTAACTGCCCATCTATAGGAAATAAAAGGGACAGAGGAAAGCATCTTAAATGACAATACAGGGATGTCAACTGCAAAATCCAGAATGTGGGGAACTCTACAAACAAATGACCCAGTTTCTTCAACATGTTAATTGCAACTTAAAAGAGAGAAGGAGAACACATGTATTAAAAGAAACTCAAAAGGTAAAATCGATTACAATGTATGGCCCTTATTTGGAACCCAATTTGAAAAACCAGCTATTAAAAAGATATTTATGGCACTTCCCCGATGGTGCAGTGGTTAAGACGCCGCAATCCCAATGCAGGAGGCCTGGGTTCAATCCCTGATCAGGGAACTAGATCCCACATGCCGCAACTAAGAGTTTGCATGCCACAACTAAGGAGCCCACCTGCCACAACTAAGGAGCCTGCCTGCCACAACTAAGACCCAGCACGACCAAATAAACAAAATATTTTTTTAAAAAGACATTTATGAGACAATCACAGAAATATGAACACTGGATATTTGATGGTATTAAAGAATTACTGTAATTTATTTTTAGGTTTGATAACGACACTTAGAGTTCTGGGGTTTTTTTAAAAATATTTATGGATGAAATGATATGAATTATTATATAGTTGGAGGACTGGGAGAGGATAACAGCATGTACGTATCAGATGAGACTGGCCATGATAACTGCTGAAGCTGGATGATGGGTACAGGCGCACTCATTATACTGTTCTATTTTGTGTGTGTGTGTGTGTGTACGCACGCACGCACACGCACGCACACACACACACACACACACACACATTTTTTTGGCCGTGCTGCGCAACTTGCAGGATTTTAGTTCCCCCACCAGGGATTGAACCCGGGCCCTCAGCAGTGAAAGCACGGACTCCTAACAACTGGACCGCCAGGGAATTCCCTATTTTTGTATATTTTAAACTTTTTTCCTAATAAAAATTTTCAGATTGTTTCGTCAAGTTAGAATGCTAGTTCTTACTATTATTACAGTGGCTGTCAGCATCATTTCCACGTTCCTCTCATAGGAATTAAACTGAGTATAAATGTCTATCTATTTACCAAGATTCTACAGGGATTTATCATGAGGAGGAATCCTTCCCTGACAGAAACTAGACTCAGCTCTCATTGTGACCACCAATATTTAGGAGAATAGATGGTAAAGATAACTAAATGGTAGCCTTTGAGCCTGGTCTCCACAACCAGATCTACATAACACAGCCAAAGATCAATCACAGCAGAGATGGACCCAAAAAAAGAAATCAGTAGTAGGAGAGAGATCAACACAGCCCTTATTCCTCCTAGCTCCTACTATTGAGCTCTAACTGTTACTGTTTCTCCTAGATCTTCAATGATAAGGGTCTCAAACTTTTCAGCTCATACCCAAGGCTATTGTCCCCACCAAGATTTTTTACCTGTTTGGCCTTTGGCAGTCAGGCTAAACTGCTTCTGGTAGCACTAACCTCAGGGTTTTGAAATCAGCTACTCATATATCTATCTCCACGAGATAATGGTCTCTATGAGCCCAAGACTATCTCGTGAGGAGGGGCAGCACAGTGGGCTGGTTTACAGTGTAAACTCTGCAGCCAGACTGCCTGGGTTCCAGGCCTCCATTTAGTAGCTATGTTCCTTGGACGAGTTGCACTGTGTCTAAATTGTCTTATCTGTAAAATGCAAGTAACGATTGTACTTTCCTAGGAGGTTGTTGTGAATACTGGATGTGATATAGATGCAGTTTAGAACCATTCCTGGCACATGGTAAGAGCTTGAGGAAAGTTAGCTAACATTATTATTGTGTGGGTGTTACTTATACGAATGTCAGTATTAATCTTTCGTACACGCAGGGTCTAGCACAGTGATATTCAGTAAATATTGGTGGAAGAGGTGAATCATGACCTCATAGCCTCAATCCACCTACCCTATTACTTAAACCACCTGCCTACACTTCCTCCAGCAATATTCCTGAAGTCTTGGAAAAATGTCATTTCAGGGTGGCCCTGAATCAGACGCCGCCTTGAATTGTGCGATGAAACTCACTGAAGTTCAGGCTCTGCAGAATGTAGAAAACGGCCAATGATCCTTTAAGCCATAAAATGCACGATAAAGCTGATGAAATTCCTCCCCGTGGCTGCAGGTTCCCCACCCGCACCCAGGAGGGCCACCCTCACTTACAGTAGCCGCGGAAGGAATTCCAGGCATTGGGGAGGTACGTGTGCTGGACCGTGGTGCTCTGGGGCTGCTGCTGGAGGGCCTGGCCCTGCGAGGAGCTGCCTGCAACCTGGGAGGGGCTGAGCCCCTGCTGAGACTGCTGCGGGGAGGGGCTCAGCGGCTGCCCTGCCACCTCGAGAGAAGAGAGACCAGGATGCGTTAAAAGTGTCAACTAGCCACTGAAGAAAGTACATCATGGTCATGGGGACTGTAACACTGAAGGGAGCGCTGCTAAACTAGTAATATTGTAAAAAAGAATAGAATTAATGACAAGCAATCATAACTGGGAAATCCTAGTTAGTTTCCAAAGGATTATCTACAAGGGTATCCAAAAACTTAATTTCCGTATGCTTGTAAATGAATGAAAGTATAATTATCTTCATTACATTAAAAAAAAAAAAAAAACCCTGAGAAGCCCAATAACTTGCCGGTGTCACAAAGCTAACCTGTAACACAAACTGAAGTAGAACCCAGAAGTCAGAATCCCCACTGGTGTGCACTGGATACTCCCCCAGTTAGTGGAGATAAACGTGGGGATACATCCCACCTACAGGATAAAGCCCCCGCCCCACCATGTATCTGCCATTCAGGCCCTCCACGCTCCAGCTCCGGTGCTGTTTCCAAACACCATCTCCTGTCACTAACCTACACAGTCTTTACAAATACACCACAATTTCCCACCTCTGTGTCTTTACTCACAATGAGAGTATGGTCAGATCATAATGGCTCCCCAGCTATCATATCAAAATCATACCCCTCCTTCAAGACCTAATTCAAACACCACTTCTATAAAATTTTCCTTGATTCCCTGCTAAACACCGTCTTTCCCTCACCTGTACTCTGCTAACCTAATGACACATCCACGTGGTCCTCAGGCCCAGGCAAGAGGGACCCCTGCAGGGATCTTGGCTGGCCCTTCTCCAGCTGTGCCCTTCTCACGTGAGGCCTCATAGACCTTGGAAATGGCCCTGCACCCACTTCTGGGACCCGCACAAGTCTCTTCCCTAGGCTTGGCCTCCTGCAGGGGTCCTGTCTCCTGGATGTGGCCCCTCTCATGGTATTCGGTCACCTGGGACCAAAGGGGTGGCTATGGATCACCATTTGCAGGGGTGTGGATGGAGCTGAGACACATGGGATGGGGTGTCCACGTGGTACACAGGCCCTGTGAGTGCAGGAAGGAGCCTGAGTGAGGAGAAAGGGGAAGCAGGCTTGGGGACGGCTGTCCCTGGGCCACCTCGTCCTGACAAGGAACTGAGTCTGTCCTGGCCCTCCAGCCTTGGGTTCCTTTGAGAAACTTAGAAGTGTGAAGCTAGTGGGCGTGGGAAACTCATGGCCCCTTGTGGATAGAGGCTGCCTGTCCTGGGCTGGGAGAAGTCACCAGAAACCTTACTGGGGGAGTGGAGAGGAGGGGCAATCAGATGTCAAGCCTCCCCCCACCCCCCAATAAATAGGAAGGCAGAGAAAGTGCATGTTTATCCTATGGATTCCACAGCAATTGGAGGCAGCAAAAGAGAGAGAGACATCCTTTATCCTACATTCCTCCCACCCATACCGGGCCGCTGCCAGTGCCAACCATGTGTTTGGCAGAAAAATGCATTTAATTTTGAATTGGCACTACCCATGTTATTTAGTAGCCATTGTTACTTTATGTATATTTTTCAATTTTATCATTATGAAAGTACCTATGTCAAGCAGGGAAGACAGAACATGTTTATTTAATGATTTGTGAACTTGATTGAAACTTTTAACTACTCAGGATGATGGTATGCAGGCCTTCATTTGTGCTCTGGGACCTGGGAATGTCAGGGGTGGGTCTACAGGCATCCTTTATGGCTCAGATGCCTTCATTTCATGCCCTATTTACTTATATATAGGTGTTATATCCCTACTAGACTCTAAGCTCCTTAAGGGCAAGACCTTGAAAAGTTTCCTGCAAAGAGTAAGAATTTAATAAACATTTTTGAATGGATGTAACTCTGTGATCTCAATGATAATCTCTATCACACAAACACAGTAATACTCCACAAAAGTCACTGTTCCAAAATTATAGAAACAGCCTAGCAATTGCCGACTGTCATACAGCCATTTAGAACAGGAAGCAAAGGCCAATGTTGTCTCTAGGAGATCAGAGCCCAGGGCTCCATCTGGACAGGGGAAGCTAAGCACTTAATGGAAGTGCATCCCTGATACCAACAGAAAAATTGGAGGCAGAGGTAAGACTGTTTAAAGGCCTGCAAAATAATGATATCATTTCCATAGTCAAGGAGACCAGGTGTGAAGATCACATGTCTTCGCTCTTAGTACATCTTCAGGGTCCCTGAGGCCACATGAACCTGAGACTAGTCCCTGGAGCAGTCAGTGGGAGCAGCGTACCTGGGAGGCGGGCGTGGCCGGGGTGGGGGGCTCCGTGACCTGGATGTGTTGCACCTGGATGGCATGCTGCGTGTAGGTCTGAGGGTCGTGGAGCTGGGCGACGTCCACTGTGGACTGCTGGGACTGGTGAGGGGAAGTGGCCTGCGGGAGGAGAAACCCAGACCCACGCTGATTAAGGTTAAAGGAAAGCCTTCCAGAGAAAAGGTGTAGCTAAAACAACATCCCAGCAGCAGAACAGGCAGGGCTTCAGAGCCGGGGCTCACTCCCGGAGGGCGCACACCGGGGCCAAGCTGCCAAACATCAGGGAAAAAAAATAGTTTTAAAAATTATGCTTGGGCTTCCCTGGTGGCGCAGTGGTTGGGAGTCCGCCTGCCGATGCGGGGGACGCTGGTTCGTGCCCCGGTCCGGGAGGATCCCACATGCCGCGGAGTGGCTGGGCCCGACAAAAAAAAAAAAAAAAAAAAAAAATTATGCTTATTAACCATAAGACAGTAACGCGATTTCATTCTGGAAGAGATGAGGGAATATAGCTCCTAATAAGAAGCTGACTGAGAAGCTCTCAGGAATCAAGAATCTTTTTTCCCTTAAGTTTCAATTAATTTTAATGGCCTACCCTTTATCAGTTAAAAGAGATCAAAGGAGAAAATTTGCTTTCAGCTTGTCACACTTAACCACTAGAACAGTGGTTCCTAACCTTTTACGTATCACAGACAACGGAGAATCTGATGAAAGTACAGACCCTTTTTCTAAAATAATGTACATATATATCATAATTTACGGACAACTTCAGGGATTCATAGATTCCTCCAAAGCCTAAAATTAAGAACGCTCCTATTGAAAAAAAAAAAAAAAAAAAGATAAAGAATAGTCAATGACAGTGGCAACTTCCTCTTTCCTGCTTTCATATTAGTTTTAAATTTTCAGAGTCCAATTTATTTCAAAGCAAAACGTTTGTTTATGTGTGCCTTGAGTACATTTCCTTAGTATAATTAAATGAAACAATAGTTCTGGGAGGACTTTTTTTTTAGCTCCTGAATCAGTAAGAATGAGGTATTAATTACCTTGTAGAAGGAACAGTTATAACTTGCTACTAATAAGGTACTAATCGATATTCAAAATTCACCATTATTCCTTACAACCTCCCACTGATAGACGTCATTCGATGCCTGGGTAGGGGCTGATCAAACAGTCTCCTCACCAAGTAGTCCACCTGGGTGCCCAGGGTAAGGGTTCCAAAGAGGCTCAGTGCTGGCCTGCAGTAGGGCAGGATAGTGGTATACACTGGAGCCGAAAATCTCTGGATACTGTTGACAGAAATCTCTTACACTGCTTAGTCCAGAGCCCTCGACAGCCAAGGCTTTACAAATGCCTTAGACTCCAAGCTGACATGCACAGTATGTAGGGCCCAGTCCCAGCTCTGAGAATTAGGTGTTTTAGCTGACCCCAGCTGCTGTGTTGGCTGGTGGCAATATGGCATTCACACAGGTAAAGAGAAATAAACGCAGGACAGTACCGGGGCCACCTGCACCACTTGAAGCTGTATGTGCTGAGGCTGCTGTAGGCCAGATGTAGACTGCGACACCGGAATGTACTGGATTCTCTGGTAGTCCCCTTGCGGCGTTCGGTAATCCGTCGTTAAGGTCTGGGACAGTTCCGTCATAGCCTGGGTTAGCAAGTCTGTTGTCTGCAAAAATCACAAAAAAGCACATCAGCTGATAACACTGCTGCTTGTAGCTATTTCAGTGCTCTGAAATCCTACAAAAAGTTGGTCTGTCTAACTGGTGGGATCATGGGACCACAAATAAGCCCTGAGCTCAGATAGAAAAATACCCAGAGTTAAGAAGGTGTTGGAAGATTACCTGTATACCTCTAGCTGTCTGTCTGTGTCAGGCCCAGGGAGTTACCCCGGAGGTTCTGACAATCTTGCAGTGAACAAGCAGCACTGAGAATTTCCTGCTACTCCTTTTACAGAGAGCTTCGGAAAGCACCGACTGGGAGACCCAATCGTTAAGCATCATGCCTGGTATAGAACCCTGAAGGGTGGTGGGCTACATCTGCAGCCAATTAAATACCAAGACAGACATGGCCTTGGCACTGAAGATGTGATGGGCAGTGGAGGACAGGAGTCGCTCTTACCGGTCACACACTTACCACCACAGTCTCTCCAGTAGCACTGTCTGTAGTTAAAACAGCTGGAGCCGCACTGATCACGGCTGTTGTCAGAGGTGTGTGTATGGTGTTGGGTAGCTGGGCGTACTCTGGATGCTTCTTTCGAATGTGCTGTACCATCTTGGTCTGAAAAGTTACGGTGAAAACCAAGAAGAATTACTAGAATAGGTTATTTTCGATCTTTCTCAAATGCAAGCCCTCCAATGGTTCCTATAGTCCTTCATGTTATGTTTCAAAAAACAAAAAGAGTAACACTGGCTCTGCCTGCCCTTCCTGAAGCGGGACAATGGTATGAAAGGGAAAAAAGAAGACGCTGGAAAGAAAGTAAAGACTCGTGTGAACCCCACGCTATCAGGCAAGGTCAGAATACCTGACAGCATCCCCTGATCCCACCAATACCTGCAGCAATCAATGACAAGCCCCACAGCAAAAATGACCCCCTTTTCAAGAACCATCATTTAAGTCCTTATGTAGTGCTGCTGCAAGCCTGACCTCATAAACCACGAGCAGGGAGTATTCAAATCGGAGACCCACCTCGGGCCAAGGGAAAAGGAAACCATTCAAGTGCTCAGATGGCACTAATTCCCAGGAAAGTCCACCGTATTCTCTTCCCGTTCTGTGCTATGCTCCCTGTTCTCAGGAAGCAGCTCCTTTAGCACCCCCATCAATTCAGAAGACGCCATCACGGCATCTGGATAAGTACCATCTTCTCTTAAGCAATGTTCCCTTAAACCATGACCTTGGTTCCGACGTGGTCCAAAGCCTTCCCCGTACCTTGCTGCTGTACTGTTTGGAGCAGTGAGGGCAGCACACGGGCGGGGTAGCTATAGTGCCTGTGAGCTGGGTGTGGGTGCTCAGCATGGGGTCAGGTTCTCCAGGGCCAGCGGGACGAAGTTTCCGAATGCTTGGTGGGAGCTCAGCCCCAGGATGGTTCTTCAGAATATGGGCTTTTCGCTTGCTGGCACTTTTATAAACCTGCAAATTCAAAAGCTTTGCCATGGAAGCAGTATATGCTTCCACTTTCTTGCTTAAGGCAATCTAACAATTTCATTACAAGGAAATGAGAAAAAGTATTCACGTAGTCCAAAATAAAATATATTAACAGATATGTTGAAGGATAACAAGGATATAACATAAATCAGAATAACGTAAGAACATAACATAGATATGTGAGGCATCTGCCCTGAATTTATACATCTAAGATAGGAATAGTAAAAACACCTTTATCTTTACCCTGAAGTTTAAGAGGTGAATATACAGTCATAGAAACAATTTCTTTTAAGGCCAGTTCACCCTTTAGTCTTTCTGTGAAAGCTCTCATGTGATGTACATAGTTGACTACTAGATGCCAAAGAATCTTCCAAAATGGCAAGTCTAATAGCAACTAGAATCTGTAGTGGTGAATCTGTGCTTAAAAAATGTTTCTTACTTCTAAGTTGACACTACTTATACACAGCTTATAACTGATACAGCTGACATTGTATAAGGAAGCAATATTACAATGAAACAACAAATGTATATTCTATTCCTGTGTTTTTTGTAACTATGCAAAAATCAAGAATGGAATAGTACAAACAGAGTATTCCACCACAAGACTTTTTCACATCCTACTCAATCTCCTAGAAATCCAAAACCTACTCTGTATTTTACAAGTAGGATGACAAACACCCTCATTTTAGAGCTTAGGAATTTAAAATGAATTCCTATACTAAGCTCTTGGTAATAAGCCTCTTCTTTAACGGCAAAAGTCACAGAGAGAAGGAACAAGAAAAACAGAGCTGACTAATTCTTAAGAAAAAATTGGGGGCTTAAAATGAGGCTGCACTCCTAGCCCTTTCTTGTCTGAATGGAAGACTACTGAGAGACAGGGAACCATCTGTTAAGAGAAACTGCAAGACCCTAGTATATATCTATACATGCAGACAAACTGGCCCTGAGTGGGGCTCCCACAGAGGTATCCTCCTATGGACAGTTTCCTTTTACCTTATCACAATACTGACAAAAGTAGTCACGGTTGGGCTTTATGATGGGTAGAGTTAACTCTGGCACCTCTTCTATCTTCATGTCTGGGTGCCTCTTTGATAAGTGATTTACCTAAAAGGAAAAAAAGCAAATGAGAAGCAGAGACCCCGTGACCAGCAGACGCTGAACAAATAACTCTGATACTGAGTGCAAGCAGCTGAAACTCTCTGAAGCGACACCCCAAAACATGAGGCCTTTGGCCAGAACCAGCACTGCCAGGACCCTCTGACACCGACGCATTAACAGGAGTTAACAGTAATTCAGCAAATCACTGAAGGTGAATTGGGATGCTGTGGATTCCACCGAAAGCCTTTGACTGAAAGAGCTGCTGGTGGAAAAATGGAAAATCATACTAGCAGGAATTTCTTTCGAGAATTCTCCTGATGCAAGCCTTTCTTTCATTATTTAGTGCCCTGGCCTTACCGAGGACGTTGAATGAGATACAGATATATTCTGCAAAAACTGTCAACGGGGCCAAATGAGTTGAGAGCGGAGACCCAGCTCTCCTGGTGCTTCAGCTAACCCGGTTCGCATACCCTGCCTTGGCGGAAAGTTCCCTTCTATTGCTGTGTCATATCTGGAACAACTGGTGTGGGGGGCTGCAAGGCAACGACCCCGCCAGAGAGTACGTTCGGGAACACAGAAGAGAACAGGAGGAAGCAGCACAGAGCAGAGCCGGAGAGGGGCAAAGCAAAGCAAAGCGAGCAATGAAAAGTGATCAACAGACCTCTTCCAAGAAACACCAGAAATGAACCACGGCAAAGGCAGCAAGGGGTGACCAGGCGGGAGAGAAGCCCCAAGCTGGGAACTGTTCGCCTCCGCTTTGTCCCCAGCCAGGGACGAAACCCAGTGACAGATTTAGCGCAGAACAGTGTGCCAGAGCCATCGCCTGAGCAGGGGCGGGCAGTCTGGAGCCTGGCACTGACCAGCATGCCTCGTCTCCGGAAGCCCATCATGCACAGGCGGCACTTGAATGTGAAGCTGTCGTAGTCGGTGGACGTGATGCGCGGCTTGAACGTCTTGGAGCGGCTGATGCGGTCAGCTTTCTTGGCCTCCCTCTCAGGGTTGTGCATCCTCTGCATGTGTTCCCGTAGTTTGTCTTTTCGCTGTTCAGAGAGCATTTTTGAGAAGGCAGAGGGTTGGGGAGTGGGAGTAGGAGATTTTTAATTGAAGGGGTAAAAAAAAAAAAAAATCAGTACAAGTTAGCAGTAACACAACCCACCAGGCTACATCCGAGGACACGGCAACCCTGGATGGGAATTACTCTGTTCGCTAGCAAGTTAAGTGCGTTCCAGTGAGCCTTGCTTGAAAATGACCATCCAGTTTGAAAAGTACACAATGATTTTTGAGAAGAAAGGCTTTGCATTTATGTAGAAGTGATCAAAGGGCACGTGGAATAAGTTTGGTATTAAGAACTACAAGACAGGGGCGTCCCTAGCAGTGCAGCGGCTAAGATTCCACACTCCCACTGCAGGGGGTGCGGGTTCCATCCCTGGTCGGGGGGACTGAGATCCCACATGCCTTGCAGTGCAGCCAAAAAGTTAAAAAAAAAAAAAAAACCACAAGACAAACTGATAACGAATGGTAGGTAATACTGGATTTACAAAGCCATGTGTGTTCTCAACTACCACATGTTTTAACACACATGATGACATTCCTCTAAATCCCAAATGAACTTAAGTAAGTATCTCTCATCATATAAATTTAGCAGTTCAAGTAAGCAGTTACACTGCCTGCTATGGATGGGGCACACGGTCTAGGTCACAGCTCTTAGTCTGATCATCTAATCTTCTGGTGATACGTGTTGATGTGAGTCCACAGACAGAAAATGAAGCAGAGCCCATCCTGAATAAAAACAAATTCCAGAAATGCCAGCTCCCTTATCCAGTGAGGCTCTGCTCCTGGACATGCGATTACACTGCTAGTGGTCTTATAAAGATTTTGAACCTTTCTACCAGACCAGTTCTTTCCACATTTTGGTACGAGGATGTTTCTGTAACTGCTTCATATTTCAGCACATTTATTTAACAAACATTCCTTGAATGACCACCGTGTATCTGGAACCATGCTAAATTCAGAGGTGCAATGCCAGGCATCCACACCAACCTCCACATTCTACACAAATGCCTCCTTTTAAAATTAGTTCTCCCCTCCTGAATCCATTTCGGATTCTCTTCCAGTTTCTATGACAGCATGACCTACTGATATTCTGCAGAGTGTCTCTCAGGGACATCTTTGCAGAATCATCTGGCTTCCCAACGAAGCATATTTTACCATTTTCACATTTATTTGTTTAACTCTTATCTCTGAGTCTCCTGTGGGTTTTCCCCGTTGCTTTCTTCTAAATTCCAGGCACATTTCTGATACTTATTATTTTTTATCTTAATCCTGTAAGTCATTAACATTCCCCAAAATAGTCTAAGCCCTCTCAACATCCCACAGATTTCCCACCTCTGTTGGATGACAGTCCTCATGCCCCAGGGCTCAATTATCAGGCTCTTACACTTAATAAGTGCTCAGTAAAAAATCTGGTGGGTAAATGTATTGTCCTCTTAGGAGTTCCTCCATAGCAATTTAGTTCTATTCATTATACACTTGGATTCTTGTAAAACATGCATTAGTACTCTGTTTGGGGATTTGAATTAATTATTTTGGGAAATTAAGGTGAGTTTTCCCCTTAATTTTATCTTCACAAGTAAGTGAAACATGAGGCACAAAGTACATCTCAGGTCAGTTCTTTGAGCATAGATGATACACCCATGAAATGAGCAGGCGCATCCTCAGCTTGTCAATTTCAGTGGCCCTGAGAACACCCAGGCTGCTTGCCGGTTCCTACCTTAAACTGCTTCCCACACGTAGAACACAGGAAGTCCTTACGGTCTGAGTGCCGGAGCATATGCAGCCGCAGCTTGTCGGGGCGGCAGAAGGCCTTGTCGCACTCCGTACACTGGTAGATCTTTTCCGAGTGGAAGCTTCGCACGTGTTTTTTCACCTGGCAGTGAGGACACAGAAAGTCAGGGGAAATGACCAAAGGCAGCTCAGCGACGCTAGAGGGAGCCAAACGCTGTGCCGTGGATCTTCATCAACCTGGCCTGGGAGCCAATCAGGTGTGACTGATAACGGGCCTCAGTAACACTATCCCCATCACAGAGGCGGGAAAGCCTTACCAACCTCGACCTCCCACAGAACTTGAAGAGGAAGAAGAAAATGTTCGCTTAGTCCAAGCCCTGATCACGTGGAACCCATTTTTCTTTCCTTTTTTTTTTTTTTAAGATTAAAAGCAAGAGTTCCCTTGGATTTAAATGAATCTTGGTAAAAAGTACCTATAAGAGGACAAAAAATAATTCCTTCTCACTTTTTCCTGCTTCCAACATGTATAGAAGCAACTTAGCCCCTTGTAGTAATTGGTCCTTTTACATCTTTCTATCAAATCAGGTTCTGAAGAATTAAAGACATGAATTAGACGGGAGAAAACACATTACCCGTATATGAGAACAACACAACACCAGCATCATTTCCCCTTAATTGGGACTTATTCCCTATACTTTTAGATAACTTAAACAAAGGAATATGGCCTCTGAACTCTCTTTGCCATAAATACCCAGCAAAGAAAAGTTATGGATGGGAGCTAAGTAGTGAGTCATATCAAACCACTCCTACAAGGCATTTTCCTTCATTATTTTTGGAGTCTCTTTTGCCATTAAATTCCACCTTAAAGCAACTTCTCTAATTGTTTGTGTAAAGTGAGAAAATTACCAAGACTCCCAACACTAACAGAACTATGATTAAATCCTAGTCTCCTTTTGCTTTGGTAATTTAAAAAAAAAAAAGAGAGAGACAATATTTTTACTACATATTTAGACTTACTTGTTCATTCACTAGCATGTAACAATATTAACACTTGAAGTCCAAATGAAATCATGAATATTCTGGAATTTATCCTCACCCCAGTTTGCTCCAGAATATAATACAGGGGAGGAGGTCAGTGCTTAATACAGAAGTATATTATAGCCAAAACATGGAAGCAACCTAAATGTCTACTGACAGAGGAATGGATAAAGGAGGTGTGGTACATGTATACAATGGAATATTACTCAGCCATTAAAAAGAATGAAATAACACCATTTGCAGCAACATGGATGGATCTAGAGGTTGTCATACTGAATGAAGTAAGTCAGACAGGTAAAGATAAATCACTTATATGCAGAATCTTAAAAAAAAAAGATGCAAATGAACTTATTTACAAAACAGAAACAGACTCACAGACTTAGAGAACGAACTTATGGTTACTGGGGGAAAGGTGGCAGGTGGGAGGGACAGACTGGGAGTTTGGGATTGACATGTACACACTGCTATATTTAAAATGGATAACCTGGGCTTCCCTGGTGGCCCAGTGGTTAAGAATCCGCCTGCCAATGCAGGGTACATGGGTTCGATCCCTGGTCCAGGAAGATCCCACATGCCACGGAGCAACTAAGCCCGTGCGCCACAACTACTGAGCCTGCGCCCGAGAGCCACAACTACTGAGCCTGCGTGCCGCAACTACTGAGCCCATGTGCCTAGAGCCAGTGCTCCGCAACAAGAGAAGCCACCACAATGAGAAGCCCGCACACTGCAATGAAGAATAGCCCTAGCTTGCTGCAACTAGAGAAAGCCTGCGTGCAGCAATGAAGACCCAACGCAGCCAAAAATAAATAAATAAATAAAATAAAATGGATAACCAACAAGGACCTACTGTATAGCACAGGGAACTCTGCTCAATATTATGTAACAACCTAAATGGGAAAAGAATTTGAAAAAGAATAGATACATGTATACATACAACTGAGTCACTTTGCTGTACACCTGAAACTAACACAACGCTGTTAACCAACTAGACTCCAATATGTAATAAAAAGTTTAAAAAAAAACCAGTATGTTATATACCAGCTTTCTCTTTGTTTCCTTCCAAAATGCATCACCTTAGTAGCACAAGACAGGAAACCAAAGTGATGGGGAGAAAATGTTTCCAGGCCGGGAAATGGGAGTATGTCTTCTACAAATGCCGTATATTTTATGAGTAGTGGGTATTGGCAAGGATTAAGAAAGACTTTTTAAAGATTATAACCAGATCTGGGTGTTTATTACTCGTAATACAACTTAAATGTTTAAACGCCAATGTCTTATTTGGACAATTAAGGGTCATAGTAATCTTTTGCTTATCAAAAGTAGGTTGACTGAAGACATATCATGCTCAATTAAGAAGATGCTGCAGGGCTTCCCTGGTGGCGCAGTGGTTGAGAGTCCGCCTGCCGAGGCAGGGGACGCGGGTTCGTGCCCCGGTTGCGGAGGATCCCACGTGCCGCGGAGCGGCTGGGCCTGTGGGCCATGGCCGCTGACCCTGCGCGTGTGGAGCCCTTGCCCCACAGCGGGAGAGGCCGCGGCAGTGAGAGGCCCGCGTATCACAAAAAAAAAAAAAAAAAAAGAAGATGCTGCAAAGAAGGCATGGAAATGCAGATGACAGGCTGTCTCAATCTTCCAAAACTCGAAGTTTCTTTTACCTAAAAGAGGAAGTGTTCCAGCATTGCGGTAGCAGACACTCACCTGGATAAAATCTGGGAACCGTTTCTTACAAGTTGGGCAGGTGAAGTAGCCATCACTGACATGAATGGCCACGTGATCTTTCAACAAATCAAGGCGGTCAAAGGATTCTGGGCAAAAAATGCAAGAGTAAGTCTTCTGGTCCGAGTGGAGCTTCATGTGGCTCTCCAAGGACGCACTGCTGATGAAGCCCTTGTTACAGAGGTCACAGGTCAATGGGCAGCTCCCCTCCCGCCCATGGAAGCGCAAGTGTTGGTCCAGTTTGTCCTTTTCACGGAAGGCCTTCCCACACTGCAAACATTTAAAAGGCCGGAAGGACTTCCGAATAAACAGGTGCTGCAGAGCTGCATTCTGAAAGACACACACAAGTGAGATTATTTAGTGAGTTAAGTGTGTAAGCAGCTCGCACATTTACAGGAAAAGAGGACAATCTCTGCAATCACAGACTTTCCACAGAAATGAAACTCTAGGACACACAGTTGAAAGATTTTTCTGGTAAAGACATTAAAAATGAAGCCATCCCCAAAGAAGTTCGTCTTGAAAAGACAAACTTTTGTGTGCTGTTTTATGTCTATGTGTGTGTGTTTTCTTTTGAAAGGATCTAAGTAACGTTCAAAAAATAGAGGACTTATATTGGGTTGGCCAAAAAGTTCATTCAGGTTTTTCCATGAGATGTTACAGGAAAAACCCGAATAAACTTTTTGGCCAAGCCCATAGAGTAAAACAAACCCCCGAGTCAAGTAGAATAAAAATTGAAGACTTGGAAGAAATGACTTGGGTTGAGTCACACATGCATGATGAGGTTGGAGTGAGTCAGCCAAATGTTTCTTGTTGAAGTCTTTGAGAAAAGGAACTTGAAGCTTGATTAAAATGCTTAGCAAAAATAAAGATAATAAAAAGAACTGAAGCGTAGTAAGTACCAAGGGCTGGGGGAAGGAGGCAGCGGATATGGGATTTCTTTCACGGGTGATGAAAATGTCCTGGAATTAGTGGTGATGGTTGTGCAACTTTGGGACTATTCTAAAAACCACTACAAAAAAAGTGAATTTTATGGTAAGTGAATTATATCTCAATTTAGGAAAAAGAACTGAAAGAGAACGAAGATAACAGATTTACATGAACGTGTTTGCAGCTGAGACAAGATATGTAAGCACACGTTCTAAATGGAATATGTGCCTTAATCACTCCCTACTCAGGAAATGCAGAGGACAGCTTCTCAGTGTAGCTGGTTAGTTCCACTGGTTAGAAGCCTTGCTAATTGGGTTAAGCTTATTGCTTTGACCCTGTCTAGACCAGCCAATTTTGCTCTTTTTTGCTTTTCAGTCCCAGATTGCACTTCTAATGCTGATTAGCCATCTTGTAAATTCATCCAATTGTTATAGGGAATCCCAGTGAGGGAAGATGGTTACTTAGTGCAAATTCATCACCACCACTGAGAAAACAACTCATGTTCTACTGACAGCAAACCAACAGAATCATCTTTCACACAGAGAATACAGAATCAATATTTTAGTTCTACTATAATGAAGACTCATTCATAAGTTCCTCAAAACACCAGGGGGAAAGTTCTAGATAGCTATGAGGTGGGGGGAAAAAATCCCTCAAAAAAATATATCTGTGAATGGGTATGCTTATGTAACTATAAGAGACTAGTAATTAAAGAATTAATGGAGGTCTTAATGCGTTATTTGTGCAATGAAAAAAGTACAATGAACAATGCTTAAACCCTTAATTTCAAATTATTCACAAGCAGCAACTTCTGAAGTAACTTTAATGTGAAATAATCATTTAGGGAAAAAGCAAAATAATTATTGACTTAGTAAAAATTGTGAACATAGTTCCTATACAGCAGAGAACATCTTTCTCAGGGCTTCTCTAATAGGGTTGGGAGAGATATTTTACCTACTCATTTATCTTGAGTAAATATCTCGCAATTCCATCATCTTCCCAGGTTGACTGGGGTTGCATCATATTTTATTCTCCTTTGTATCTAGGTCTCTTAAAAAATAGCTGAGCTCATAGGAAGTGTCAATAAAAGTTTGCAAATTAATGAAATATATTTCATAAGAAAATCAAAAAGAATTACTTCAAGATCTTTTCTGTACCACCTGAAGAGATCATAAACAACAGACCTTTTTCAAATCAGCCACAGAGCTTTCTTTCACTTCATTATACGGTTTAGCGGTCACCTAATCTTTCTACCCTATCTGGACAGATACTTATTTTACATAAAAGCTCTCACGATTCTGGCTACTTTCCAAGCTTTACGGAAATATTGCAAAAAGAACAGATGCTATCCTGAGGTTCAGAGATTCAAGATTTAGAGTGCTCGGGGAATGCATCATTTCCTTTACCCAAGTTCAGTGAAGTTTCCAAGGGCAGACAAAACGCACAACAACTGGTCTTGGTCCCACGGAGATTCCACTTCCCCTTGGGCACCAAATCTGGATGGTGGTTTTGTCTCGGTCCGTTATGCTAATAAGTCTCCTGTCATCTCTGTTTAGTGTGAGTGTCCTCAGACCCTTGATCTAAACCCAGCAGCCGCCAGGCTCCACTTTCTTAGCTCTATCGACAAACCTTGTTCTTACTGCCTTTTTGATTTCCATGGAGCACTGAACTAAGTACTCAAGAACTAGGTTGTTTCTCTGATCGAATGATCCTAATGTAACCCTCTCATTACAAGGTAGTGGAAGTACTGAAACTGTCCGCCCCCCAACCCACTCGCAGGCCATTTCAACCCTACGGTATCTTCTGCAGTTCAGAGCTGCAACTGGTACACATTTTCTAGAAGGAATCAAGAGAAAGGGTGGGAGCAGCACAGATGGGTCCCAGAGTTGCCGTTGGCCAACCACTCTGTACTGGATGGAACATAAGCTCCTCGAAAGGTGACAAAATGGTATAGTTGCTAAAACCTGTGACAAGGGATTCGACTCACACTGAGATGAATTCTGAGTCAACAGAGTCTTTGCAGACAAAACCATAAAACGTTTCTAAAGTCTGATGTTGATAGCTAAAGGAACCTAAATTGACTTATTTTCATATTATTTTGATCCTAACATTAAAAGGAAATCAATCATGTTTGTTGGCTTTTTTCTTTTTTTAAACAACTTTTCTCTGGCCTGTTTTCTGCCCAGTTTTCAAAACCTCTAATGGGCTAGCCTTGCCCGGTATGTGCTACTCTCCACTACCCTCCAGGTGGTACCTGTGCTCAGGTCCAGCCAGCAACCACACCAAACAATTCCTGGGTGTCGGCCTTTGATGCTATGGCTGCCGTCCTCTGAAACCATCTCCCTTCTTCCTGTCTCTCTTTCAAGGACCAGTTTAACTCTCACTTCATCTATGAATTATTCCCCAACTCCAGCTTTCTTTGGCCTTTCACTCTTCCAACTTCTGATAGCAATTATAGGCTCTACCTTTACGTGTAGCACTTAACTGTGACCCACCTTACATTAGCATTGCCTCCCTAATTAGACTGGAAGATCCCGGAGGACAGGACGCCAGTGAAATTTCTACTGTGTACCTAGGCAGTGCTGAACATACAGTCAGAACTCGGCGCCACTGCAGAAGTCGTCCAGTTGTCTCAGAGCTGGAAGGGACCTTGGAGATCACTTAGTCCTACCCTTCATTTTGTGTATGAGCAAACTGCAGCCCGCTCACTTACTATTTGAAAATAGATTATCATCATTCATTAACTAATTTGCATTGACTGTAGCAACCAAACTGTCATCTCCACCAGGATTTAGTAAGTACAGGTTGCAAAGAACAGCAGGTCAGGCAAACACTTAAATAACATTCTGTTATGTGAGTGAAACACAGGAAACAAACGTACCTGCAGCTCCAACTGAGCAGGCAGCATTAGAGGAGAGAAAAATAGTTACATTACCAATGGGGTTGGAAGGCTTCCCTTCAGTTGGTCATTACCAATCTGGATAGAAAAGATGAAAAAATACATAGCCCCTGCTTTTTAGAATGTGTGAGAGGAAAAAAAGAAAAAAAATCGCTCACCTAAGACTGACCTCCAAAAGCCACATACACATGGCTTTTGCTTTGACACAAGGAACCTTGTTCCAAAACCAGTAACCCAGTTCATTCCAGAACATGAGTACGATCGCGGCTACACTATGCTTACACATCCACACCTCATGAAACATGTGGGCTTTAGTTTTTTCCTTCAAAAAATTCAATCTAGAAAGCATTTCTACGGACCTAGTGAGAAATCAGAATGGCCAAAGCAGAAAAGATAGTAATTGCCCAAGAAAGCGTGAAACGCAGATTGGGAATCATGTGGCATGATGGATGGAAGGTATGCACAGCCTTTTGCCCTTCTGGTGTATATTTATGTAGGTTTACATATCCTTTTGAAATAATATACATGGAGCCATAAGTTTTATAAGTTTCCATTTCAGGACCCTTATAAAGTCTATTCAGCCTGATTGCTCAGAGTTCTTCCACGCTGTCATACAGAACAAACATTTAAATGTATTTTTAAATGAAGGCACGGACTAGACTATTGTTCAAGGTCCCTTCTAGCCTAAAGGCAAATAAGACCGAAAGAAACATAAGCTAAAATGATCGTCCACCTAGAAATTGTAAAGCCTGGGAAGTTATACAAAAAGTCTCTTTCATCCACATAAAGGATTAAGATAAGTCTTTAAACGTCCTGCTACCACAAACACAAGTTTAAGTCATTCTTTCCTGGATGTCAATTGTCCGCACAGACACTGATCTCACAAAACCACGTTGCTCTCCACATGCATCCCCCGCAGGTCCTAACGCACACTCAACGCTGTCTGTGAAATAGGGACAAAACACACCCGACCAGGCAGCCACGGAGGCCCTGCAGCCACATGGCCTGAAGTCAAGTCGCGGGTCACGCGGGTGAGACACTGCCCTACCCCCGAACCTGGAGCTTAGCTCCGAGCTGTCCCCGTGCGTGCGCTGCACCTGCCAGATCAACTTGAACTCAGGTCCCTGTGCACTGACGCGTCCTGGCATTTGCCAGTCTCCCCTTGGAAACCATTGATAAACAAATTCAAAACCCCAAACTGACTTGAGAGCTATGATTAGGCACAGATTAGCCTGGCTTCAATGAAAGTAACTATTACAACTCAGTGTACTTATCTCTCCATTTCCAATCTGTGAGTTTAGGCATCCAGAGTTATTCTACTGTAACTACACTAGTCCGGATGCTGCCAAGAGCCAGGCTTCTGAGTCACTGCTAAATTGATGGAATCTAGGACCGGCCATGCCAGCCTGCCACGGGACCCAGAGACCCAGAGAAACAGTTCATACTTTCTTCGAAAACAAGGGGCTTGAGCCTGTGATAGGCTAGATGCAAGCAAGCCTTAGAAGTGGTGGTGAACGGCAGGGCACCTACGAGGCTGGCCGCCTGGACAGAGGTCAGCGCCCGCAGGGCGGAGGGCTGGGAGAGGGCGGGGCGGGCATCCCGCTTACCCGGATGCGCTTGGCCCTGCGCATGTCGTCGGCCGTCAGGGTGCTCTGGGCGGGCAGCCCGCTCTCCTCGTGCTGGGGCTGCAGGTGCAGCTCGTGCGTTTCCGTCTCGTGCTCCAGAGAAGACTGGGCTTCTGGTGGCAGCTGAGGGACTGCGAGCGCGGGCTGCTCTGGTTGGTCCAGCCCATTCAGAGTTGCAGGTTCAGCCTCATCGAACTGCTCCTTGGTGGGAAAATGCAGCAAGTCCTGAAATTGCAATAACCAGCAATCATTTCCCTACCTAGACAGACATTAGTGCTAGGATTTAGAATTGCAGCTTTACTTTTTAAATGACTAGCGTCGTTATGCTCAGAAAAGAATATTTTCCTTCTGAGAAAATTAGTTAGGTAACCATCCACAGGATGTAAAAACCATGAGACATTCCAGATCATTTTGTGAGGAAAAGACAATGACAGGACTCTTCTGGAATATCATCATTTTAATTGTTTAAACTAATTAAACAGAGTCCCCCAGTAATGTCTCTGGACAATTTCAAACCTTTAGGGCAGCAGAGTTGGGTTTTTGTTGTAAGTAACGTTTGAAACAATGTTCTTTTTAGCCTTTCTCTAGTCAGACTTTAATTAACAGGCAGCACAGCACTGACAGGCAGGCCTATCACCCTCTGAGAGGCATTTGTATCTGAATCCAGTAATGGTTCTCATAAGTTCTCTAATGAAGCATCCAAGAAGAGCTTTCCCATCCCCCATACCTGTGTCCCATCATCACACTTTTCCCCATTTTCACTGGTTATTTCCAAGCGGATAAATTTGGGAGGGCGTCCTGGCCGTCGACCTGGGCCAAACCGCCTCTTGCCTCGCCCCCTTCCTCTGCCTCTTGTTCTGGGGACAAGACATTGGGTTATAGATAGTCATGGTTACACAATACTGCACAACAAATATTTCCCTGAATGATCCGGATTCACCCCAAATCTTGATTTCCTCTCACTTTATTTCTTTTCCTGATTCTTTTTTTCTAATGGAAACAATCACTTTGCTCATACACGCTTTCCAAATTTCTCATCTTTGCCATCTATATAGCTCAAAGAGACGTCTTAAATTATTCAGAATAAAAGGAGGTTTAAAAAGTCAAAGCACTGACACCATTTTGCTACCAAAAATTCTGGAAGCTCGCACACATCTCTGCGATTCTGTGAGCAACGCAGACAGGACAGAACACGCCTGGTGTGTTTCCTGGATACAAGATTCCAGTCTATAGAGTCAAAGGAACGCCCTTGTTTTACTATAATCTTCTGGAAGGTCAGAACAAATTTCTAATTCACCGGTTCCATAGCACATCCAGTAAACACCATATTAGAAGATTCTTTATTATGGGAAATTCCGGATCTCGGCAAATGTGCAGAATGCAAGGAGGCCAGTGTACCCGCTACCTCATTTCAATACTTATCAACTCATGGCCAGTTTTATCCCATCTATAGCCTTCCCACTTCTCCCACACACATACCCATTAGGCTATTTTGAAATAAATCCCAGACGTCAGTTCATCTGTAAATATTTCAATATGTACCTCTAAAACATAAGGACATATATATGTATATATAATACACATATCTCCACAACAACTTTATCACACCTAAAAAATAAGTGATAGTTGCTCAACATTTATTAAATCTAGCCAAAGTTCAAATTTGCCTAATTGTCTCAAATTTCTTTTAACAGCTGGCTAACGAACATTTTTTTTTTTTTTTTTTGCGATATGTGGGCCTCTCACTGTCGTGGCCTTTCCCATTGCCGGATGCGCAAGCTCAGCGCCCATGGCTCACGGGCCCAGCCGCTCCGCGGCATGTGGGATCCTCCCGGACCGGGGCACGAACCCGTATCCCCTGCATCGGCAGGCGGACTCTCAACCACTGCGCCACCAGGGAGGCCCACGAACATTTTTATCTACAATGTGTCATGCGTGGAGCTTGACACTAAAGACGGTGAGTTATATGCAAGTTTTTACCCTCAGATGTCCAGTAGAGGCAGCAGACATATAAACCAAACCTCACAACAGAATATAAAAAGTGCTATAATAGAGCCATGGTCGGAGTTTTCGGGATACACAGGAGGGAGCGACGGAACTCCTGCTGTGTTCTCCATGCACCCCAGACGTTGTTTGCTCCCGTGGTCACACCCTCAGCCTCGTCGTCCTTGGGAGGTGCGGAATCCCCACTGTCCTGATGTCATGCCTCACCCACTCCTACACTGTGTCCTAACTTTCCAGCTCACGCCCTTAGGCACCTGGACTCAACGATCCTTCCGCCTCACCACCAGCTCCAGTCCAGTCCTGTCCTCTGTCTGCAGTCGTGCGTCCTCTTCATGGTTTCTCTCTGTCCTTCCACTCATAAGCTCCAAGGTCCTTCACTGGAGTCACTCTCCTGTACATGCTCTTCCCTTCCCACTGCTGCTTCATCACTCTTGCTGCGTTGCACACGCTTGGTGAACCGACTTCCTGCCGGCTCTGCACCGGCACCCTCGCAGCGAAAGACACTTGGTGATGACACAGCCGTGACTCACATGAGCCCTCACTCACGTTGCGGGCAATCACACCGGACTTTTCTGGACTATTTACTCTCCCACTTCCCTAAATGCCATTGCACACCATCTCCTCTCTTTTCAAATCACATAAAAGTTGGCAACGCTACATCTGTCCCACTGGGACTACTCTGCCCGGAACCACACTCTCATTTTTCATCTGAACTGTTAAAACTAGACTTCTAACTAGACTCCCTGTCTTCACTCTTTTACTGCAGTACAAGCTAAGGCGATGTTTTTATTTTTATCCACAGTTATGTTTAGAAATGTAACTGACATCACAATATCCCTTGATCAGCAGACTCTAAAGACTTCTTATAACACATAGAATTACATTCAAATTTCCTGCCACTACCCATCAGGCCTATGTAATCCAGCTGCTGCTTACCCCATCCTATGGAATTCTCCTTCACTTACCTTTTTTATATAGTGGGAATTAAACATAGGACTTAGTCTGATGAAGGAATCCTACTACTGAAAAGAGTTTGAAAATTAGAAGAATTCCTATTTCAGAATCTCTAGTTAGGGGAGATTTTACTAAGGTGAAAAGATGTCCTATTGCTGGGTATTGGTTATGCTGGAAAAGACACAGGTAGTAATGAGGACCAGGGGAAAAAAGGAAATGACGGATAAGAAATGTCCTTCAGCAGCCTACCTGGTTACCTGTCTACACACAAGCGCGCGCGTGTGCACGCACACACACACACAGACCCATAAATTCACAGATGATATAGAAATGACCCTGGAACTTTAAAAACGAAGTTTTTGAAATCATCCCCCTTATTATTATTATACCTGCTAAACACATCCAGTTTCTCATCATGCGAATTGAGATGCTGTTGCAGCTGCTCTGAGCTTATAAATCGGCGGTTACATTCGTAGCAGGGCCAATTCTTCTCTTGCTCTCGAAGAACTGCAGTCGTGGGAGAGAAACCACGGAGGCTGGTGATCAAGAGGCACCAATAAAACTCAGATGCCCAGTACCCACACCATTCCCATCTCAGCGTAGCCTAGTGTTCATAAATATGCAATGTCTGCTGTTCTGTTATAAAATCAAAGGCTAAAGTTTGACAGAGAATAATTTTTAGGATCTTGTTTTCTGATATATTTGCATAAGACATCAAAGGAACAAACACCCTTGTGCTACCCTCTCCTGCCCCGCAATACATACAACACACACACACACACACACACACACACACACGACCTTACCACACTGGAAAGACAAGGAGTGCTACAATGGAAATCTGTATGCAGATAACCCAGTGATTCAGATCCAAGTTTCATAATCAGATGGTATACTGTATCACAAATAACTTGAAAATCAATGTCCAATGTAATCACTTTAGCAAAATGTTCAGAAGTACCCATTAGGGCTGATTATGTGTATACCCTATGACCCAGCAATCCACTCCTAGATGTGCACACAACAGAAATATGCACATATGTTCACTAAAAGACATGCAAGAATGTGCACAGTGGCACCCTCATATTAGCCAGAAACTGGAAACGACCCTGCTGTATAATAAAGAATTTTGCTGGCATTTGTCCCCGGTCCCTGGGAAATAGCCTCTAAATCTTTGGAATCTCCAAGTAAGAAGCACATCTTTGTTATTCCTGGTGATCTGTGACCATATCTGAGTTTATGCTAATGAGATGGCTCAAGATGGGGCTGGCTGTGTCAGGAAGACCAACTGTCTGATTACAGGGTTGGGGCTTTGAGCCAGGTGGTATCAGCCAGGCAGGGAGCAGGGGCTGGAGAGCAAATTCAATCACAGGCCAAGGAGCCAATCACTCACACCTATGTGATGATGCCTTGAGAAAAACTCTGGACACAGAAGCTCAGGTGAGCCTCCTAGGCTGGTAATCATGCATCAGTGCTCCAGGGTCATGACACGGCCTAAGGACATGGGAGCTTCACATCTGGAATCCTCCCAAACTTTGCCCTGAGTGTCTCTCCATTTGCCTGGTCCCCGCGTGCATCCTTTATACTACAATGGTACTCATGAGTACAGCACTTTTCTGAGTCCCATGAATCGTGCTAGGGAATTATCAGACATGAGGGGGTTAGCAGGAACTCCCTAAATTGTAGCTAGCTGGTCAGAAGTGCAGGAGGCGTGGGACCCCAAGGGCTTGAGACTGCTGTCTGAAGTCGGGAGGGCCTTGTGGAGGACTCTGCCCTTGACCTGCAGAATGGGACCTCACTCCAGCTAGTCAGTGCCAGGATTGCATTGTGCAGCCCACATTTCTATGGTAGAAATAGATCAGTGAATTGCGGTACATTCACACAATGGAAACCTAAATGGCAATGAGAATAAACAAATTACAATAATACACAACAGTATGGAAGAATCTCACAAACAAAAGATTCCCAGACACCAGAAGTGTACATATCACATAATTCCATTTATAAAAAGTTCGGTAACAAGCACATCATCATATCTGTGGTGTTGAATTCGGGAGATTAGTTACACTTGGGAATGAGGAGGAATTACAAGGCTCAGGAGAGTCCTGGGGCCATGGCCACGCTCTGTGTCTTGATCTGGGTGCAGGTTGCCCAGGTGTCCTCACGTTGTGAGGTAATTGGGCCATTACTTAGGATTTGTGCACTTTTCTGTACGTAGGTTGTACTTTAGTGACGTTTACTTTGAAAACAATGTCAGTGCCTACCTTGCCGTGCTCAGAGATGATTACATCTCGATAGGGATCGTCCTCTGATCTAGGTCCTAATTTAGTATTTGGAGGTTTTCATTATATTAAATACTATTTTCCAGCACCCATGAAAGAAATGTAAATATGTCATTGTCACCTGACCCAAGAATTAGACAGGGATGTGCAGCTCTATAAAGAACCTATTAGAATATCTTAAATACAGAGAGATAGAAAAATTAGACATTGCCTAAAGATGTAAGTAATATATACAATTTAGAATCAATATATAAATACAAGAAAAATGAAAAAGTCCAAGCACCTTTCCTTTCTTCCTCGGAAATGTCATGAATCTTCCGGTTCACAAACTCGGCATAGGAAGCAGCATACCACACCTGCAAGAGCCAAGTACGTCATCAAGGACTAAGGGCATCACCGGATGTGCTTCACGTGCTTCAATTCCCCCTCCTGCTCACAGGAAACAATTCAGGATTTTCTACAGCCCACGGAAAACAAACAAACAAAAGAAGCCGAACTGTGAGGTGACCCCGTTAGTGCAGACAGTCAGTCAGGAAGTTCGCCTGCCAAGACACACTGTGTGTTTTCTTTTTCCTTTGTAAAAAACTGTGGGACTTCCCTGGTGGTCCAGTGGTTAGGACTCCGCGCCTCCACTGCAGGGGGCACGGGTTCGATCCCTGGTCGGGGCACTGAGATCCCACGTGCCGCGCGGCGAGGCCAAAAAAATCAATAAATAAAATGTAAAAAATAAAAAGATAAAAAACTGGTTTTGTTATTAGAACAACTTCACGAGAGATAACATCAATAGTCTCTTGATCGGCATGAAGCAGAGCCTCTTCCAATTCTTTTTTTTTTTTTTTTTTTTTTTTTAAGGTACACGGGCCTCTCACTGTTGTGGCCTCTCCCGTTGCGGAGCACTGGCTCCGGACGCGCAGGCTCAGCGGCCATGGCTCACGGGTCCAGCCGCTCCGCGGCATGTGGGATCCTCCCGGACCGGGGCACGAACCCGCGTCCCCTGCATTGGCAGGCAGACTCTCAACCACTGCGCCACAAGGGAAGCCCTCTTCCAATTCTTTTATCTGTATTTAAACACAGGTTTCTCCACAGCTGTGATCATGGTGGCTCTACCCCGACACTGCTGGGTCACCAGAGCTACGCCACCTTCCTGAGCCTCTTCCTCCGCCCTACCCCGTAGGCCGCTTCTGCTCAGTCTCCCTGTCTGGCTGTCCTTCCCCTCCTGCACCCTGAACAGTGCTGCTCCTCGAAGCAGTAGTCCAAGTCCAGGGCCTTCTTATTTCTTCCTGAGGTGATCGCATCCATTGCAGCCAACTCTGTGCTAATGACTCCCAGGTCACTGCCTCTACCCCAGACCCTCCCCTCCTGCCCTCTACCTACATTCTACTACCTGCCTGATGGCGCTTGTCCGGACCTGACTTCCAGATGCTCCCCTCCTTGCCCCCTGCCTACCTTCCCCATCTCAGTAAATACCCCACCTTCCACACAGTTGCTCAGACTTGAAATCTAAAAGCTAACCCTTTTTAAAATATATTTATTTATTTGGCTGCGCTGGGTCTCAGTTGTGGCAGGTGGGATCTTTAGTTGTGGCATGCGAACTCTTAGTCGTGGCATGTGGGATCTAGTTCCCTGACCAGGGATCGAACCCGGGCCCCCTGCATTGGGAGCATGGAGCCTTCGCCCCTGGACCACCATATTTCTGTTTTCTTCTGTAATGCCTCAGTAAGAACTCTCAGTGGCTCAGACGTCCTCCGTCTGCTCCGGCCACCTAGACGCACACCAAGGTGAGCTCTTGCCTGGTTTTCTAACGAGCCTCTGCTTTTCCACTCTCGCTCCCTGCATTCCAGTGCCCACAGGAGCCAGCACGGTCTTCTGGAAACACAGTCTGATTTCATCACTCACTCCCGTGCTTAATGGCCTGCAACAGCTGCTTGGTTCTCAGTAAACCTCAAGGGCTTGACGCTGGTCTGCAAAGGGCTCCCACCACCCTCCTTTACCCACCTTCAGTTCCTCCAACATGTAGAGTTCTTGCCCTTGCTGTTCCACCACCGGGAATGTTGGGCTTTTCACTGTCACCTCCTCAGCAAGGCCCACCCTCTCCCGTCACACCTAAATTGGGGCCTTTCCTGTTATCTGCTCCTTTCACACCTTTTGTGTCCTTCACAGCACTTCCCACTATTTGATATTATTTGCTTATTTACACCTTTCTGCCCACCTCCCCTCTGGAGGACAAGTTCCTTGAACGCAGGGCACCAGTCTGTCTTCTCCTAGTGTCTGGAACGTAGTACAAGCTCCATGTTTTGGTCACTAAATGAATCCATCATATACAACTGTTGTGGAACATTATTTTAACCATATGGAAATAATCACACAGAGAGACTTCATTTTCAACTGCGGAATAATATTCTACAGAGTCTGTATTCTATACTTTACTTGACCATGACCCTGTGGTTGGACTTTTAGGTAGTTTACCATTCTGCTGTTATAAATTCTGCCTTGTTCATTGATTCCAAGAGGTATGTTTCTCATATTCTCTGATTCAGAAATCAGAGTGTGCCTCCCAATCCATGGCATTCTGTGGTCACTGCCCTGACGTAGCCATGACCACCTTCATTTGCTCCTGCACAAACCTGGCCGAGATCTTTCTATTCTCACCGCATTCCGGTTATGTGTCCCACTGGCACTCCGTGAGGTGCTACACTTGCTAAGCAACGCAAATGAAGGCCAAAAAAAATTGCCATCTCCCTCAGAATAAACGGAAGAAATTTCAAAGCAATGCAAGGCTGGTGTGATCATACCGGAGGAACTCTCATTAAGGTATCAAACATCGAGTGATCAGAAACTTCCCACTGACTTGATCAAAAAACTCTCAACTTCCAAGGACATGTGTTTCAATTGAGGAAAAAGACACATATGGGTTCAGTCAATGCGAAAGCACAGCATCAAAACTTACAGAAAAGCCATCAGTGGCTTGGAAAAATATCCCAGAGGTCACAGAGGAGCACTTATTCTAAAAACACTGCATCATCATCAACACCCTGACGGCACAGAAGATGACAGATAGACAAAAGCACAAACATCCATGATAAAGTAAAACAATGATCCAGTTAAAGAAAAAAAAAGTCAGACTGCACAGACTGCAGTTTATACCTTAACCAATTTATTTTGCTTATAGTGTGCCTTTTTAAATATGCATAAGTGTGATGTGATTTCAAAATTGTATCTAAATAAGTCCAAAATAGCTCCTGCAATAAAAATAACTATTTCTGTTGATTAAAATAAGCACTGTAACATAGCTCAGCTGGCAGTGTATTTTTTTTCTTAATGGTGTGTAAAATAATGGTGCATCTTAATGTCTGAGTCAGTAAAAAAATTACAAAATTCTAATGTATCTAGCTCTATCTTTGCTTATAATTATTTCCTCAGACTTATTTTCAAGGATTGGGTTTACTCAGCCAAGAACATTTTTGCTGCCTACTGTCAGAAACATTCTATAAAATATTGCAATTCTGAAACAAACATCCCTATTTTTTAAACCCTCACACTCCTTGTATTATATCTGTTTATTTTTGCTAGTTTAAATTAACAAAAATATTAACTCATAGTTGCTTTAAGGGTTTTTAAATTATCAACCTTTAAAAAAATTTTTTAACATTTCTTTACTATTTGAGTCCTCCCCCAAATAAAGTCTATTCCCGATACTTGTTTATTGTCCATCTGGATGTAGTGAGGTTAGAGGCACACAACTTTCTCTCAGTTTGCATACTCAAACCTTTTAACGTGTATTACAAATATTTCCCCCATTCTGTTGCTTTCTTTTTATCTGTTGTTTTGGTTGTTCATTATATTGAACTATTATATTCTTATTTAATTGTATCTGTCTGCCTTCTACTGCATTAAAAGAGAAAATAATCTCCCCTCCACAGTTAAAAAGTATTCATTCAGTATCAAGAATTTATTGGAATACAGGTGTGAGATGTGAATCTCCTTCTACACATTTTCTTTGGAGGTTATGGATTATCTAAACTTGACAGTTTCAAAGACGCGGGGTCTGTGCAGCTTTTAAACAAAGTCTAGGTCTTTGTTCCCCCCAAAGAAGTATCTATTTCTCACTTTACTACACTGAGGCACAGTGCTATTCAGTGTTCATGTACCAAAGCCATCATTTCTAACATATTTTTCATTTATAACTTTAATATTTTGACCCCCTCTTTTTACCATGTTCCTAACATAGCTTTAAAAATGGGGGTGGGGTGGGGGTGGGGCAGAGGGGATTTTCCCTTAGAATCATAGCGGAATTTTCATTAATCATCAAGAGTTAATATTTAGACAAATTCCTACAGAGCGTTATCCCCCAAAAATATATTCCTAAAATCAGAAGTCAGTGCATAGAATTCTTTGGGTAAAATGAGTCTTCAGATAAAGAAATCTTGCCCATACGTCTGAATTCCATTTTACAAGATCTCCTGTTTCCCAACTAACTCCTTCCTTAGAATGTGTAAATGATGTGAAGTAAAAGCCCATCTTTAATCACACAGACCTGCCTGTGCCCCCAAAACAACTAATTCCTCACCCCTGGGCCTCATACCTTCATGAATGCCTTTGACAGATCTTAAAAGTCATATACTTTTCATTCTGTTTCATTTGTGGGATTATTAGAAGTGTACAGTACACAGCAAGTGCTCAGTAAGTAAGTGAATTACAAGAAAAGGACCATTGTTTAAAGAATCCCTCTGCAAAGGGAAAAGAAAAGTAGGAAAAGCACGAAGCAATTGTGATTCCCAGCAAAGGCGCCACTGACCCAGCACTGTACCTTAAGCTCTTGCTTGGGCTCCACGTTCTTGATTGTTGTGTAGTACACGTGGTGGCCATACTGATAAGCCACCAGGTTCTGCTCCAGGTGATTCTGGGCCGGGCGCACGAACATCATCCAGTTACAAAGGGTCTCGTCAGACAACTCAAACCACAGGTCTTCATGCAAATCCCTGTCTTTTCTGTCACCTTTATCAAGAGAAACCTGCAACCAGAGTGAAAGTAAAAAGACACACATACACAAAACCTCTAATATGATAGATATTCATGTCATGATATACAAGATATTGTTCCTGAAATTAACCAGATATGCTGATTCTCCCCTTTGTATCTAGAAAGATACTGGAATTGTGTCTTGCTGAATGGAACAGGAAAAAGATACTTTCTGAAGACTCATCTACAGGAGGATTACTTAGCAAAATCTAAAAGTTAGCAACCTGAGTGTACAGCTTTGGTCGATATTTCATCATTAACTAACACATCAAAAAATGCGACTAATTAGGGGCTTCCCTGGTGGCACAGTGGTTGAGAATCTGCCTGCCAACGCAGGGGACACGGGTTCGAGCCCTGGTCTGGGAAGATCCTATATGCCGCAGAGCAACTGGGCCTGTGCGCCACAACTACTGAGCCTGCGCATCCAGCGCTTGTGCTCCGCAACAAGGGAGGCAGCGACAGTGAGAGGCCCGCGCATCGCGATGAAGAGTGGCCCCCACTCGCAGCAACCAGAGAAAGCCCTCACACAGAAACGAAGACCCAACACAGCCAAACATAAGCAAATTAATTAATTTTTTAAAAAACTGAAAATTAATTAATTAATTAAAAAAAAACTGAAAAGAGGTTTTCCTAAAAACATTATGGGCACTTAACAGATAACATGAGTCGACGTAATTCTGTGTTCCAGTCAAAGTTAATTTGAAAAAAAAGCTGTCGAGTCCCTTTTATGGGATGAATTGTGTCCCCCCCAAAATTCGTATGTTGAAGCCCTAGCCCCCCAGTATCCCAGAATGTAACTGCATTCGGAGACAGGGCTTTGAAAGAGTGGGTCCCAATCCCATCTGACTGGTGTCCTCATAGGAAGGGGAGATCAGGACACACAGAGAAGCTCCAGAGGAACCTTGCAGACAGGGACAGCCCTGTGCAAAGGCAGCCGCAGGGCAGCCACCTGCAAGCCAAGGAGAGCGGCCTCACAGGGGGCCAGCCTTGCCTGCACCTTGGCCTTGGACTTCCAGCCTCCAGGACTGTGAGAAAACAAACATCGGTTCTTTAAGCTCCCCCGGTCTGTCGTGTTTGATTCTGGCAGCCCTCCCAGACTAATCCAGACCCTGAGAACTACACCTCTCAGAATTATTCACATTGAGACTTCGGGGACTGAAACTGTACCCTCTGTGTCATTGGTGAGAGAGAAAACGTCTCCATTTGAAACAAGTCAAGCATAGAAAGAAAAATACTAGCGAACTGCTATGAGATTGCATTAAGAGGCTTGGTGGGAAAATGCGTGCCCCTTAAAAATCGTCAGAACGAGACTGGACTATGTTGAAACATAAATTACCTTGAGGTGGATGTAACAGTCCTTCAGCTCCGACTCCCTGACCAGTGGCCCCTCCACGGGGCCGAACTGGGTGCGCTTGGGGATACGCCTTTTGGAGAACACACCGCCCAGGAACCTGTCGATGTACAGCACCAGGGGGAGGCTGGCCCGCGCCCGAGTCAGCACCGGCCGGTTGGGGATCGGATGCAGGGGGCCATGCTTCGGGCACACGGACGAGTGTGCGTTA